TCTATAGACAAGTACAAAAGGTACAGTATATTCTAACTGACCGGATATCTCTAGTAAATCTATAGACAAGTACAAAAGGTACAGTATATTCTAACTGACCGCATATCTCTAGTAAATCTATTGACAAGTACAAAAGGTACAGTATATTCTAACTGACCGGATATCTCTAGTAAATCTATAGACAAGTACAAAAGGTACAGTATATTCTAACTGACCGGATATCTCTAGTAAATTTATAAACAAGTACAAAAGGTACAGTATATTCTAACTGACCGGATATCTCTAGTAAATCTATAGACAAGTACAAAAGGTACAGTATATTCTAACTGACCGGATATCTCTAGTAAATCTATAAACAAGTACAAAAGGTACAGTATATTCTAACTGACCGGATATCTCTAGTAAATCTATAGACAAGTACAAAAGGTATTTTAACTGACCAGATATCTCTAGTAAATCTATAAACAAGTACAAAAGGTATTTTAACTGACCAGATTACTTTAGAACGTTTCCAGTTTGACAAAGAGTTATGTCTATTTTATTGTAGACATTAATTTAGCAAAACACATCACAGTCAGGTGAATACACTTTGATACTTTAGCCAGAGTGTTATTTCTGCTTTATTGATTAAAAAGCAAAATAGGTATGTTTAACTCTGATGAATGTTTCATCATACATTTCTGCTACAGTAAACTAATTGAGCAGCCTGTTTGATGCAGATCTGGGTAGTTCTGTTGACAGTTAACTTGAATCAAGAACTGGTACATTTTTACTGGTCCACAGCCAACAGGGTCTATGCATATGTCAAATACAGTCAATCTAACACTCTAACAGAAATAAATTAAAAAACTAAACAGCGTGTAAGAGAGTTGCCTATGGTTTTATGTTATGATAATGGTACAATATATACACCAAGGTTAACATAACATTGATGTGAAATACCAATGACTACCAGATGTTACTCCTGTAGTGCTCTTGGTGTCATGTATACTGTAAATTCACTAATTTTCACAGGGGATTTATTTTCCTTGATTTCGCAGGTCCTCTTAATACCAAAATCCATATACCCAACAACTTAAAATTGGTATAAGTAATTCATGGTGCTATATTTACTCCTTAAATCAAAAGACCGCAATTTAAAAAAAAAAGTGAATTTTAAACCCGAAGAAAATATATGAAGTTGGCTCTTCTAGATAATATTATAAGTAAAACATTTCAAGACATCAAATTTATATAAATCCAATAGAAAAAATAAATTGACAAAATCATTTTGTTGTTCTTTCTAGACTGTATGGCCCCTGAAATATTTTGATGATCCATTAAGTCAACATTAAATACTTCAGATAACATTTCAATTTAGGGAATATAACAGGAGTAATTAGAATTATGAAGACAGTAAGAAATATTTCTAGATAAGCTGTCTATATATCTAGAAGTAAAAACATAGATAAAAACACTATTTCCAAATCAGTAAAACAGATTTTGATTTCATCAAGTAAAAGTTGATAATGAAATGGTTGCCATGGTATACCACGAGCCTTCTTCAAGTCTGAACATACCACCATACAGTAATGGTATATAATTTTCATGCAGGAACTAGAACAATGACAAGATTTGTAAACAAAATAACATACAAAACTATAACAGAAACCAAGATGATGAGGAAAAGGGTAACTTGTCGACCTGGAAAACTTTACTTCTCTGAAGAGATTATTGTAGGCAATTTAACTTCTACAGGTGGAAAGAACCGTGTTTGCTTGTCATTATGACTCAGTTTGAGAGAAATTGAATGAAAATCTCTTCAAAATTAGTAAAAAAATAAAATTGGAAAAGAACCAATTTGCATCAAAAGGTGGCCAAGGTGGTTACCAAGCACATAACATTCTCATGTGGGCCAGCTGCTGGATTTCAGATAGCATTATGAAATAAACAAGTTGGTGTTCAAGATGACATCATAACATATACATTTATGTTGGAGATGACATCACAATATGTCTACATTTCTGAGAAACAACATACCTACATGTACTGTGTATACAGTGTATCTGTAAATAAATTCATTATTACTGCAATCAAAGTTCTTGGTATATCATTAATGAGCTGGTTATGTGATGCCAGCATCAACAGGTATTCCATCCTTATTGCAATGGACAATGGGAATGTCTGATCAACTGATATGTTCTACATATATGTCTGCTATAGATATATATTTACAACAGTATACTGAGAAATTAGACTGGAAATACAGGAACATGACAGTAATGTAACTATACAACAGATATGGCAGACTAACAAACCAGATACCAACCGTCTACATTCCACAAACAATGGCACAAATATTCTTTCTCTAGCCCAGCGTATATGAAACAAAACTACGATTTAGTGATGTGGGATTAAATTCTTAATGCAATTTTTGTAAAAGTCTAAATTAGCTTCTGAAAGTAGCAGAAACGTTTGTACTTCTTGTCATTTCCTGTGTAATAACTAGCTTTCTCTGCTGTAATTTGATGAATGAGATATCTGTCTAAAATGTGAATTATCAGTGGCACCACACAGAAGCAGTGATCTTGAACAAACTATCATAGATAAACACTAATCAGCACACCATCTTTCAGATCAGTGTCATACAAGGGTTTAAACTACTGGGTGAGTAGATCCAGACTATTGCAGCTTATCACTTTACAGGGGATGGCAATTTGAGGTACTTAGAAGTATATGGGCTTCTCTACATCAGCCTAACAGGAGCTCAATTACTCTGACTATTTCAGGACAAAGTATGTCAGCATATCAATATGTAACAATGTATTTCTACTTTTTCCTGCAGCTGTTGCTTCAATTTTCATATAATTTGTTTGATTATATTATTTATTATCATACAATATACAATTTTTTTCCAATTTATACACGTTTACAAAATATTTCTTCAATGTACATCTTGTGTTAGAAATCTAGACAATTTAAAAAAAAAAAAAATACAAATAACATAAAACAAATGGTAATGATTTTCATACATTTTGCTTTCATGGAGGTCTGGGACTAGGAGGTGGGGGCATACTCATTTGCTTGTCCCTGAATTTTTATCTAAAATCCATTAAAAATTATATTTATATCATGACAATAGGTGTGGAATGTATGGCATTAGTCAACTTTATTGGTGTTTACTAGTAGTAACATATTATAAATCATGAGATACCTGTATTATTAATGAGAGTTACAGTCAAGCCCTGTAGATATTTGTTTCCAGTGGTACTCAATTTCCTGTACAAATATACAGGTCATTGATTTATAGATTGTTGATGTGTCTGTTCCATATAAATCTGTTGTCTCCAGATTGTCAACACATATATAGCCATTCCCATAACCTACGTATTGCATGGGACCAATAAATCTGAGCTATTCATTTTGTTTCAAGGACCACAGAAATCATAGTCAGGGTATGAAAAGCCACAAAGAGAAAATTATATTGGGAACATATGCCCAGTTGTACAGTGGGTTTCCCAGGCGTCTAATAAAACTGTGGCATTACCTAAATGTAAACATATTATATATGAACACTCCAAACGACCTGGTCGGATCCATTGTATGTACACATAGTGTTTCCCTCCAAGCGGATGGACCTCAATGAAGATCAAATCCATCTGTTCATTTCAATCAGCTTAATTTTTCCTCATAAAAAAATAATCGGGTCCACATTTAGGATTTTAATATATTTCTTGTGTTACTCAGATATCAATAAAAAATAATTATTTGATGACTTTCTGAAATGCCTGCAATAGCATATAATAAAAAACCTACTAATGATAATGAAGAACTTGGTTGAATTTTTTTAACAGAAATATATGTGATACTATGGCACCTGTATCGATTCTCTAAATATAGAATTTATTGTTTAAATCTTATATAAATGTCTGAACAAAGACAAAGGTACAATTGTAAGTTACATATAGTTTCCCTCAAAAATACAGTGAAGATAAACCTATTCTAATTATATAGGAATGCTGACCTTTCAAATGATTCCTGAAAATCATTGGAAAAATATCCTTGTAATGAACATGTTTATATAAGGCAGAAAAAGGAAATGGGCCACCGTCAAATACAAAAATAGTAAGTAAGTGAAATTCTTAAAGTCCATTAATCAAAGTTTACACATGTATTGAAAATAACTGATTATGAGATTAAAACAATAAATAGTCAATTTTCCTCAATTTTGACATTTTTTAATTACAATGAAAAACAAAATCAATTACATTGCCAAACAATTGCACTTGGCTAATTTGTGTCTTATATATGCCTTCTTTGTATTCATTACTGTAATATATTTTACAGGTATGATATCTATAAATAGTCAAACTACCCTGTATATTGTATCACTATAATGAAGTGGGTGGATATATCAGGCCTGGCAGGTAGAAATCACAAATGTGACATGATTTGTGAATGGTAAAGCAACTTGTCATCATTGATTCATATCCTGTATGTAATCCTATATGTATGATGAATGTTCATGACATTCAGATTATGTCAGTGGGATATTATTGCCAATCAACCATGAAAATTAACATGATTTTTTTCACTAAAGTTAAACATTTAATCCACTTAACTGAGGATGAACATTTTAAAGCACTTGAAAAACCCTCTAATACTTTTTTTCGTTTTTAAACACGACATATGTGACTGAGTCATTCCACGCAATAACCTTTATTATTGCCTTTCGGCGATATGTTTATTAAAAAGGAAAATGTTTTCATGATATCAAAACACAGTTGGAGACGGACCTATTTTGTAAGAAAGACATTATATATTCAAGAAAATAATTATCATAAAGGAAAGAGCGCAAGCTAATTTATTCTCATCGATTTTCCAGTGATAAACACTCTCCAAGCATGAAACTTGAAAGCCTTGCCAGACCGAACCTACTGCCATAACAAAAGTCTCGCTTTCTACTACATGGAAAAAGCAAATGTTTTTTCAGTAAATGATAAATGCTGATAAATACATACCCAAATTAATGATATACAAACAGCAGACAAAACCCGCAAACAGCAAACTTTGGATTCCAACCTCATTTTGAACGTATATTACTGCTACATTTCACATAAGAATCTTGTATCACTGTGTTACTTCCGCTTTAGTTTTCCTTTGTGACAGCAGAGGTCAACACCGTCGCTGTCTCGGAACGTCTCGGACTCCTACCACAACCAAACAACACAAAAAAGTCCCATGTGAGGGTAAGTTTCATATTAGTAAGACGGAAAATAGGCTCACAGTGATATCATAAGAAGGTTAAATATGAACTAATGCATATTAAATTACATTCTCCGCTGCTAAATTTGAACTGGCCTTACACAGTACAAAATGCTGTACGTTCGCTATGTTTGTAAACAAATGTTTGACAAGCTGTGTACATAACCACTGGCAAAGCTCGGAATAAATAGAGTATATCTTATACTCTGTACTACTTCGTTGTGAAATGAATGTTGTAATTATCTCACAGAAATGAAAAATAAATGGATTAAGGAACATGTCAGCAAACATACTCCATTGTGTCGAAAGCTTGCATTTTGTGAAGCGCATACTGTACTGTTAGATTGGAGAATTGATAACATACAATATAGAGTATTAGAGAATACATGTTATGTGTCTTAAATTACAAGCTTCATTTTGTTGAGAATGAAGAAAGGCAAAAGAGGATTTCATGTGATGAATTGTAACTTATATTTAGACACTTGTCTTGTATTATAGTTTCCTGCAACATTTCAACATTGTATATGTAAAACTGTAAATCTTTGTGTAACCAGGGACGTATATATGTCCCTGGTGTAACTGACATTGATGTATGCAGAATTATGTCTATATGTACACGAAAACAACAGTCCTACACAGAATTATAGTTTCAAAGGTAAAAAAATATAATAGCAATTTTATGAATATGGTGTTGTTTGTCTATCTGTCCCTCCTGAATTTTTATTTGTCCAGAGATCTTCTCCCACAATTTTCTATTAATCTTCTTCAAACTTGGGTTCATCACTATGACATAAAGTTGTGTTTTGCTGAGCAGCAGGTTGATTCAAATGTATTTGGAAGAGTTATTGTCCCTTATCATGTTAATCTTGCTTGGTGATCTCCTGTTTCTTTTCACGCTTGGTAGGCTTATTACTATGACAATTTTTAACCAATTTTTTTTAACTTGGTAGGCTTTAAAACTACAACATGTGTGTTCATGAACAGCATTTTGATTCAGCAATATTTCAAAAATGAATATTGTACTTTGTTCTTTCCAATCTTGTTCACAGATTTCTTCAGCTTTCCACCCATGCATTTCTTTAAATCTTGGTATTTTTTATGCTTTAATCATTTTATTATTTCTTTTTAACAATACGCTAACTGCTGATTTTATCAAATTCTTATGTTTTTACAAGGAATAAATGTAACCCAGATAAATACTGTTCTGCAATATGCAACTAGGTTAGAAAGAATTATCTTTAGCTGGATTGGAGGGTAAGACTAGCAAGCCAGAAGTTCTGGATTCAGTCTGAAGCAGAAACTTTTTGACATTAAGCATCAGTACTAATTCATAATAACTCATAATTTCATTGAATCAACCAGAATAATTGCTGTACTTTTACTGATTTAAAGTTTTATTTTGTGTGAATTATTTTTCAAAAATATTTTTTCTTTCAAACTTGCTTGCATGTACTATCTCCTACAGATATTCCCCAAATTTTGCAATTACGGATCACAAAACAATCTATTTATTAACCTTCAATTCTTGTTATAGGTAACAGTGTTGGATCATTTTGATGTTGTCTACTAGAACTACGCTTCATATGGTGAGCAGGATGGGTTTCAGATCCTACTGTCAACGACGACTATTTCATCAAATGGCAAGAAGATGCCATGGAGGAATAGGGCATAAACCAAATCTATTACAGATTGCAGGCTTACATACTGACCTTCCAAGTGATACCTCACCTGGACCTGTAGACTGTGATAGGGTTAAAGATCATCAAAGGCATATTCCAGTCATGGCAGAGGAAGTGATGGAACATCTCCAACCAAAAGATAACCAGGTATACACAAATTAGGAAAATGGTGTTTGAGTGGCACACTTGCCTTTTACCTAAACATCCTGGGTCTGACATGAAAAAGTATTTGGTCACCTTCCTGACCATGTGGGGTTTCCCCAGGTACTCTAATTCCTCCTACATTGAGATCACTCGTGCTTCTCTTCATGCCAATAAGACTGATTAATATAAGCTGAAATAAGTACTTTGCAGTTCTTTAAAAATAAAGTTCATTTATTTATTTATATAAACTTCTTTTAATACGGCATGGTTAAAAGGTTAATTCCTCATTTTTTCCAATGATATCTTTTCAGAGTTATTAATAAATAATTTTCAGAATTATTGGTAATCAAAGGGACATCACATACATAATTTCATGAAAACATGATTTGAAACTGTTTGACCAAGTGCTTTTCTAAGATTTATTTTACCATAAAAAATATTTCTTTTGTCTTTTTATATAAGGATTAAATTTTAAAATCTTCAACATACAGATTTATATTGACATGACCTTTGGAGGTGGAGGTCACACAAAAGAGATACTGGCTCGGGCCCCTGATGCTAAAGTTATCTGTGTAGACAGGGATCCATCAGCCATCAAGATTGCCAAGGAACTTGCCAACAGATACAGGTAATACAACCAGGCACATTTATCAATTAGAGCTTCAGGTAGAATGGTTGAGTTTTAGGTTACAATGGCCTTTGATGGTCAAGTGACAGTGGTTCTAGCTTCTTGTAATTATACTGTGATTATATATGCAGTGTTGAAAGTGATGTGGTCAAATTGGCGAAGCACTATAGGTGCCATTGTCAAGTGTAGACTGATCAAATATTAAATAGGTTCAAAATAAAGCAGCACAAAATGACAAGATATTAGGTTTTTTTTTCAGTTGGGATAAGTTGTCCACCTATTATTCCAGTCTCTTGTGCACTTATTCCTACCTACCTTTACACTTTTTCCTAACATTACAATTATTCCCACCTACCACCTACCTTAACACTTACTACAATTCTTTTTTCTAGCCCTGGTCAGGTCATGACATGTCACTCCAAGTTTTCATTGATCCATACAATTCTTCCTGAGCTGGGTGTGATGCCTGGGACAGTGGATGGTGTGCTGTTTGATGCTGGAGCATCATCCATGCAGTTTGACGAGGGAGAGCGAGGCTTTGCTCTTAGTGTAGACGGCCCATTGGATATGAGAATGGATCAAAGCTGGTAAATTAACACATCTGTGATATAATCACTTGTCTAGAATTTTCTGCTTTAATTTAGGTATACAATACTTGTCAAATGATGTGCAAAGATACAACAGCAGTCCACATAAGTAAAGAAGTGAGGAAAGCTTGAAATTTTAGAACTCTCTGATAGTGATAACAACAGGTTATTAAGAGGAGATAACTCCATTGAACCCATTTTTGCATATCTTGACGTCCTTTTGTGATATAAACAGGATTAGCAGACTTTAGATATCTGAGTAGAAGTTCGATGGTTTTGAGGTTGAATCCTTTACTTATCTAGGATCTGTGATGGTGCAAGCAGTGATTGGCAAAGGAAGATAACCACATATCATTGATTTCACAAGGTTGGGGTAAAATTTCCTGCAGATAATTCATGGATTTCTTCTGTGATAGTGACATAAGCTTATTATCAGATGATTATGTCACATCCTTTAATATGAAATATAATGGCATAATATAACAGTTGTAACCTGTGTCCTGATTTTTTCTGTCCTCTACCATAGTGACAACAATGAACCCACAGCAGCTGATGTTGTAAACAGTTTTGATGAACAGGAGCTAGGCCTCATCATCAAAAAATACAGTGGAGAGAAAAATGCCATGAAAATTGCCCATGCCATTGTGGAGTCACGCTCAGCTTTTGGTCAAATCTCCCGCACACAACAACTGGCAGACATCATTGCCAGTGCCTTTCCTGAGTAAGTGGCAAAACAGAAGTTCAGAGTACATGGCCAAGTTGCTGAATGCTTGGTTAGAGTAAACCAGTAGTTAGTGAAACATGAAAAATTGTTGCTAATGAAAAACAAGGACTTTCAAAAGAAAACTGGCACTCCCAAATATATCAATTTTAACTGCCTCAATAAATCTACAGCTGTGATATAATAATATATGTTCTGAATTTCATGTTATTTGAAAAATTTCACTAACCACAAGTTAACTGACCAATCTCTGAGCAACTGGAACTAGGTTTCCTTACTAGCCTCTGCTAATAGGAATTTTCATTTTAGTCTAGTCTAGTGGCAAGTGTCTGACTAGAGGCAGGGGGGTTAAATACACTGAGGTAAATATAATTTTGTTATTTAATTCAATAAAGATATGTAGACATTAAGTATGTTTGCTTTATAGGTTATTGATGACATGAAGTGTTTCTTTTGCAGTGTTTTACAATACAGCAAGAAAGACAAGCTAAGGCGTTCGACACACATAGCAACACAAACATTTATGGCACTCCGAATATTTGTCAATAATGAGTTAAATGAATTGAACAATGGGCTGGAAGTGGCTCACTATTATCTCCGGCCAGGTGGATGTTGTGTGGCCTTGACCTTTCAATCCCTAGAGGACCGTATTGTGAAAAGGCACTTTCATGATATAGATCTGGATGCTAAGCCAAATCTGAGTCTCCGTCAGATGCGATATAAGCAGGCATCCACCACTGAACTTGAACAGATTATATACAAACAATGGACACCTATCAGTAAACGAATCCTTATACCGTCATCTTCTGAATGTGAAAGGAATCCACGAGCACGATCTGCCAAACTGCGTGCTGCAGTCAAGAGTCTGTAAGGATGAACATAAACATGAACTACATGCAAGATTCTGGACACCTTACTTGTTTGTTAACTTACTTTACTTCAGTCATCTTTGGCATTCACATGTTGTGAATAAGATGTTTTGTTGATAAATTGGTGTGAAATTAAGTTTGTACAAAAGAGAAAAGGTGAAAGTCAACTTACAAATTAGATAGCAATTAAACTTTAAACTTTAAAAGATATAACTTCTAATGAAAATTTCTGTAGTTAAAAGTGAGATAACTTGTAGCTGATGCCCATGGTGATCTGTTTATATCTTGTGGAGGCAAGTGATAATTTTAATTACATCCAAGGTATAACAACATCCGTGCCTGAAACCTTGATGACACAGCAAATTTAAATCACCAAGGAAGATGTGTCATGGTGGTAGTCTTACAACAGAAATAAAAAATTGTCATTATCAGTTTCAAATGACATTATGTGTTAATGTATTTGAGAGTAGGCTGTACTGAATTTCATATCTCAGCTATAGGCTACAGGCTATCTTTATAACAAAATCATATGCATTAAAATATCAGTCACTTCTGCATTGGACATTGTTTAGAAGCTGGGCAGTAATTAATCTTTTTGTGGGAGGTTATTTTTGTGGATTTTGTGGATACTTTTAATCAATGAATTCATGTCCACAAAATGGTGAACAGTTACGAATATGCATTATCTTAGTACTTGTGGATTTTGAAATTCAAGCCCGATGAAAGTATATGATTTTACTGAACTTCAATAGAATAAATAAGTGGGCAATAAACATCATTTGAACATCCATTTCCCAATTCAGCTGTTGTAGTTCACAGTGTGGGGTCACCATTACACTGTCATAAGCATATGCTAACCATAGGGCCATTTTTTTTGTATCGCATTTAAACAGCCGGGACAAGTAACTTCTGTTTTACTATGTGTAAAGCAAAATGCTGAATGCAGTCTTTCCAATTTCTATAAAACAGAATTTTATTGCTGGATTTCAGATAAAAAATACAGGTACATGTGTTGTGTAAAAGTACATATTTCCTCGATTATACTGATTTTTTAAAAGTCCGCTTGCAAGATAAAATACCGGTACAAGTGATATGATTATCATTATACCTTAATCTTCATTAACATGGTTGAGTGCCCTTGTAATGCAAACCTCAAATTAATCTCCCATAAACACAATGCCATCTTTGGATTTAGTGAATTTCACAAGAAAATATCAACTTCTCTCTTCTGAGGAGAACATACACGCAAAGAAAATACCAATATGTTACAGAATCATAATCCAAACTCAAATTTGATAAAACTTGTGCAAAACATAAACAAAAAAATATTTACACAAAGAAAATGGTACAAGGAGAATAAAATGAAGTGTTCCAGAAGAGTGAACATCATCTGCTTCATTGACGACACTTAACATGTAAATCTTGGTCAATCCAAGTAAGTAATGTCACATTCCCAAATGTCTCGTAAGAATGTTTATTTTGATACATTTCTTATAAACTGAATTTCTATTATAGATCCATTAAAGAGCTCAAATGTTTGTGTTTCCAACATTTCATCTAATATAAACAATGGAAATGGATCATATTCAGTTATTGAACAAAAGCTTTCGTTTACAAATGTGTAGCAGATTTGTAGCAAGAGCAACTTCACTGGAGACAAAAGAGTTCCGTGTAAAATAAAGCTAATACTCCTGTACCAACTCTTGATTGGTGATCCAACTTACAATTAAATTGTATTCATACAGAAATTGTCTTGTGTCAGAAAGTATTCAAGTTAATACTGTAGATAAAATTAGACTTGTATGAATTGACACAATTTTAAGGTAATAGATGTGTATGATATTCTTTTTTGTAAATCAGTGAAACATTACGATATCGGTACGTTGTACATGTATAAAAATACACAGTAAAAATTTATGTTTTTCATGAAATCAATCTATTCAAACATAAACACTGTGCAAAAAAATCAACCATTTATTTCCTAATTAATTTTTTTCATTTACATACTGATCTAGCCTGTTAAACCCTCTCTATTCCGAGAACTATGGTACGGATTTGACAACTTTACACAGTTTTACTATAAATCAACTCTTAATAAATAAACTCCTAATACTCAGATTATCCATACAAACTCATCCAACACTACATTAACATACATGGCATAATTGATATTAACTTTCATTACATGAACATCTGATGAAAAGTATGTCACCATTTTTCATACCAAGCATGCCCACTTAAAACTGAACCTTTCACACAGTGATGATACATGGTGTTTACATAAATGATAACATGTCTATAATTAATTACATATAACTTTATTAAACTTGATTTATTTTACAACAATTGCGAAACAAGTTATTTCAACTTATACTAATCACTCTTGTTGGCCTTACATATAAATACTACGGTACCCATCTAGAAAGTCAGCATGACCAAGCATTACCAGTTCTGATAATTTCAATATTTTAAAATTATGTTGGAGAGGTCTTAAATAAGCTCTGATGTCTTATCAATACAATTTAATTTAATATTTTGACCATTAAAAGATTTCCCAAATTACTTGGAGGTACAACAGATTTCTCAAACTACTCGGAGGTACAATTTAATTCTTCTCTTTATCAATAGAGAGCTATCTATCAAATACCAACAGTCTTGACAAGCCTTGGAGAGAATACTTGTGTATTATTGATCAGTAAATAACAAATTTAATCTCATCAGATCATCACTGATACACCAGGAATCAACATTCTCTTCCTGTGTAGATATATAAAGGAAAAAAATCCTGTGTTGCAACAAAGTTAAACCTGACCGCATCAAATTTAAAGTACTTAATACATCTATAATGCAACGCATTCCATTTCACAATACTGCAGGCAATATGTCATGTCAATTTTTGTTTGAAAAAAGCCAAAAGATGTCTTGGATATGAATTCCCTGCTCCCATGCATATGTGTAGGGTTGTCATTTCATATTATATTTTATCAAACAGATGTTTTTATTGATGTAAGACCTTTTATCACAAATCTCAGGTTCTATGGAAGACCAGACAAAAGAAGGCTGCTATTTTGTTGCACCATTTTCAATTTATAACACCATTGACCATATTATGACATACCTAAACAATTTCTTACTGGTGTAGTCAATGAAAACCTCCTCGGTATATTACACTAGTAAAACAAATACGTAACAGGGAGAATTCACAGGATAACAGGTGGTTACATGACAAAAGTACATGTGTCCTTGTCTGATGAATTTGCAGAAGTTAACCCTTTAACCTTGAACCCTTTAACCTTGACCGCTGACAATCTAAGGCCTAGAACTTAAGGTTATGGTACTATAGGATATATATAATATATACAGGAAACAGGTGGTTACATGACAAAAGTATATGTGTCCTTGTCTGATGAATTTGCAGAAGTTAACCCTTGGACTTTGACCGCTGACAATCTAAGGCCTAGAACATAAGGTTATGGTATTATAGGATATATTTAAACAACTTTTGTTGTTAGAGAGGTTCTCAAGATGTTTTTCAAGATGGTACATGACTGGACGGATGGACAGACACAGATAACACCAAGGTATATTATACCTAATGAAATCACGAAGACATAAAAATTAGATTACCAAGCCAAGCAGAAACGGTAACAGTACTGACTTGATTGGTTAGACACCTGGGTAGCAGTGTGATTTTAAAGTTGGAAAATATATCAATTAAGTTTTGCTTGACTCTCTAGTAAAATGAAGTTTCACTTCACACAAAATGTTTGAATTGATCAAACTAGAAATATTATTTTGCATCAGATCTGAGCTGGAATACACAACGGGCATTCCAAAATGATTATGTAATCAAGTGTAACAATGTGAAATAATGTTAAAGTATAATGGTACTCATTTATCTTAGCTTACACATTCCTGATAGACCTCCACAGGAACAGGGGGAAATTGTTTCACTTCAAAATGTCTATACCAACTTGTTTTTAATATTAATGCTGATGATTAATACATAATTCATCAAGTTTACTTTATGTTTTGTATGTTAGATTGTACCCAATGTATTGTAGCATTAATCTGCTATTTCAAAATTAAAGCTGTGGTATCAGAAAACAGGTTTCTCAAAAGAATTATTTTCACTTAAATGATACAAAAGTTGTAAAATGTGACCCTTGACCTTTTATGAAGACCACCTTTTTATGTTAAGACACTAACAGTATGTAACAAATGTTGTGAGGTTCTCAAGACTTCAGATATAACATGATTGAGAACCTGACTGAGAACATGACAGGATGCAATGGACAGACATGAGTAACAATTAAACAGCAGCCGCATACAAACTTATTCTGATATATCATCGCACGTAGAAGATATCACTTTGAGGATTGTGATTTTTTTCTACATATCACCATACTGAGACCCAAACCAGGAGAAAATAAGGTAGACCGAAAGATATATACCTGTTCATCACATATATTTACATCAATTTAAGTAAATCCTTGTATAAATTCAAGCTTATATGTATCATGATTGTATATATTATTAAACATCATACTCAAGTACTTCTGGGAATGTATGTAGGTACTTTAGATACCAACAAAGTAGTCCATTTTTTTCTACACAGTTTCATTATTCTAATCAAAATTTTTATCAATTTTAAATATATTTGTCTATGAACACTATCATCAGCTGTCTGTTGCCAGTAAATTGACTCCAGGGATATTTTCTGATGGAAAATTGTCTGTTATTGAACTAGAGTTGGTAAAATTGCTCGTTATATCTTCCATCTTATATTGTCCAAGTTTGAATTTGCAGCAGATTAGATCAGTGACCACTCCAGCCAATGAGTGCATTATACCTGTTAATACACAAAAATATATACTAGTTTACATGCAATCAATAAAAACAGTTGAAGATACCAAAGGAGATAAATGTAACAGAATTAAGGTATTTGTCTGACAATAAACCACTATTTGGAAATATTCTGTCTAATACTATAAATAAGAAATTGAAATCTTTTTGTCTTTTGTCTTTTTATCTTGTCAACATAATATCAACTCACCTGATACAGAAAATATTCCTCCAATGATTCCAACCAAACGTATTAGAAACTGTCCAAACGGTCGATGAACCTCTCGTACACGAATTTTCAGAGAATTCAAATCGTATTTGACAAATATTCCTGGCACTCCATGACTTCCAGAAGAGTGATCAATGCTTCGGTTCTGAGAATAAGTAACAGAATTAATTATGTGGGTGTTGAGGAGAAGATTTTTGAAATTCGAATCAATTTGACCCCTTTTTGCCCCACCCATCAAGATGCTTCCATCCATGAGGAGTACTTGAGAAGTCGAAAATAGTAAATTGTTTACTAACATATGACACCAGGCAAAGGTGATCGCAACCTAACAAGCATATTTATACAATGTTTTTCTGAAAACATGAAAATTCTACTAATGTGATTTTCGTCTATAACCCAGTCGAATAGTTTGATACCAAATACCCATGGTAGACATCTGACCTTGTGATCAAGTGATGGTAATTATTGTTTTAACTTACCACATGAATGAGTAATGAATTCGTAATGACAAGTTAACAACACAATAAAAAAACAAGAGGGCTGTGGAGCCTGTATTGTTCACATAGCTTTGTATTGCTGAAATTGCTCCATTCAAACAGTTGTGTTTTGTTGCTTAACGTTATATTAATTACTATGATAATTTAAAGACATCCTCCTGATAATGTCATATATGCAAGGTCAGTGCATTTGTCTTTGGTAAGACATGATATCTAGTTGTAATAGTGCTAAAATGATGCTGACTTTCGAGTGCTACGACACTACGGGACACTGATGAAAGTCTCTAGCAAGATACCCCATCCAGTCACATTTAACTAAGGACAAAACATTTTAATTACCACAATATTGAGTGTTAAACAAAGAGCAGTATGACCTATCTTATAAACTCTGTTACGTCTCACCAAGGAACAGAACCCAAAACTTTCTTTACCGTGCCAACCTCTCAACTCATGGGCAAAGGTGAGGCGGAGTCAAGAGATACAGTAGTTGTTGAGAAAGAGTAACGATCTCAAATTCAGTTGTCTCTAAGGAATCATGCAATAAGACAGCAAGTACAATTCTAATACTGATTACTTACCCTGTGAGAGACAGCATACTGGTAAGTGTCTACATTAGCTGCATAGGTTCGAACTTCTGTAGGTACAATCTGCATGAAATACTGGTACATATGGAAGTCTGGAAAAAAAAAATAGGAAAGAAATTCACAATTCTCAGATTAAATCAAAGTTTCTCAACAACTTTCATTTAGAAACAAAGATAATGTTGATTTTAAAATGAATAAATGTAAAGAAGCTATAAAGGTGATCACTGCCTACCTAATAAAATAAAGGCAAACTTTCAATTTCCTCAAATAATAGGCATTGCTCTTAGATGTCTATTTCTCTTTTCTTAACTGTACTGGATGACAGAGTGCCAGGAGAATCCTTAAAACAGCATTATCTCTAGTTCATTTAGAGTATGCGTATCCAAAATGAGGTTATATCAACAAAAATGGAAAGTGTGCAAAAAAAGGGACAGTAGTGATAATAAATATGTTATCAAAAATTACAGAATTTGGGTCAGAATCTTGATAGCTCTTTACTAGAATTCTACACCTGAAGTCTGCATTTCTTCACCCTGCATCACTACATACAGAATTGATCAACTACTTTATTCCAAAACTCCATCACTTACCTGGCATTCAATGCTTTTCACAACTATTATAACATTTCATATTATTTAAATTACACCCTTGGTTATAGGGAAGAAGTTGTTTGCAAGCACATTGTCAGGCTTCATGCCAGGAACCTTCCACACCTTTCTAAGACTTTTGGTTGTTAGAAGCAGTTACTTAAGTGTTTTAACAAATTTGATCCCTGTGCCCCTGAATTTGGGTCAAGGCAATTTGTTGGGCTTTATTCCAAGAATCTACTACCCGAAAACAAGACTCAAGACCTCTTGGTCAATCAAAAGAACTCATTTGAAGGTTTCAACAAATTTCACCTTGTGACACTGAATACAAGTGTCAGTCATTTATTTTTGCGAGCTTGTTGTAGCAGATTTCTTACAAACATAATGATGATCGTGATTATGGCTTATTTCCAGGATTGGTTAATTTCTGAATTGGCTTGTTTTTTAGTTTTAGGGCAGTCGTGTAACATCACTTACTTAAGAGATCATCCCAATGTTATAACTCATGCTAATTTACCACAGAAATATTACATGAGTGGACTTGCTAAGTGACAAGTTCCATAAACTTGTATTTCTGTCTTCAGTGTTAAACCACTTACTGTCAGGTGTGACATTTTCCTCTCCATCCAAAGGGTTGATCACTCCATTGACTGCCTCGCCGAATGAGAAATGGTCAATTCTGTGAGAAAAGTTGTAATCTGAAAATAACCAAACACAAAACTTTGATTAGATGCCCACAATGACTTTCTAATTTTTTGTATTGTTGTAATGTGAAAATAACTATTAACTATTAGTAAGTTTTTCAGCATGGATTTCATTGTCATTTATCGGGCCATCCTGACCACAGGGACTAGGCATGAATTTGATACACACAGGTAGTCCAATTTTATGTATTATAGTGACTATAACATATGTACATTGTATATTGACTGTGGGTTGGGAACTTGTACCAAGTCCTGTGATCCTGATAATAGGACTTGCTTGAATCATGGAAAATACAAGAATCACTTCACATTTCTTTCATTTTGCTTTCAATTTCAGAATAAAATTTTGGAATTAATAAAATCAAAATCAAGTTCAAAGATAACAAAGACCATCATTTAAATACATACAAATATGTTGACTATATAACACAATTGATGACAAGGTCTTTTTCCTAGAAAACCCTGTAATGCACCCCTAGATACATCATTGTGATGAGTGATGACCAGATATTTGATGACTAGAGGTCAACAACACTAGGAATTTTGGAAAAAAAAAATCATAGATTGACAAACAGAACAGATTTTATCTAAACATCTCCAGGAAATCAGGACTGCTTTTTACAAGACTTATGAGATTTATTTTTCTAAACACAAATCATTATCGCACTGTATAACATACTGCAGTAAGTTTTAACTACATCCATAAGTCCAACAACAGAAATGTTACTAAATGCATCTGAAACCTAAGTTTTACTCCACATTATATAAACATTCAAGTAATTTTTTGTTTGTTTGCTGAGTTCATTGTGCTGTGATCAATTAAAGCCCTGATGAATTCTCCTTGTAGCAGTTGGTGGGTATATCACAGATCATAATAAGGGAGGCCTGCCACATGCCATCCACAGCAATTGAGTTAAATCATCATGTCCAACCACAACAGCGCATGTTGGTCTGTAATCTTAGCTTCCTGAGAGACACCACCCAGGTAGGGAATGAACCACACATCTCAGATGTTATACTAAGGTAAGTCTAATGCTCTACTGATTGAGCTATTGCAGACCCTAAGAACATGTCAAAGTAAAACACTTTTTCTCTAACTCTTGAAATTACCTGTTTTCTGCTTTCTCTAACTCTTGAAATTACCTGTTTTCTGCTTTCCTCTAAATATTTCCTATTAAATCTGTCATTTATTATCTTTTCTTTTTTCTTAAGATGTTCTTAGTGATAAGCTCGTTCTTGACATAAGCTGCCATGATATTGGGTACCTATACTGACAGAGTAGATTGTAACATTATGTCTTTATTTACATACTTATTTATAAAATCATCTGCTTCCTCACATGAATGTGTAGGCGTGTCTTTCCTCCAATACTAAGTACACTAGTAAAACTGCATGAGAAAATTTTGTATGGCTGTCACACCCATGGCTTTTCCTTATTTCTACACTAGTAAACTTACCTGCATTTTCAACAAAAGCAGCCACGTGAATGTGTCGCCCCGTGCTGGGAATTGTTCTGGACAGAGAGACAAGTCAATAAGTACTGTAATTTATACAGGTCAAAGGACAGAACAATGTTGAGGAGTAAGTTCTGAACAGCTTCACAAAAGCTTTTTTTTAATCCTTATTTCTAAATATGAACATCTATGATTCCTTATGTTGAATCAATCACGTACTTTTGCACATTTTTTATTTTTCAATGTTCCAGATGACATGATACATGTATCAAAGAAATATTTTTTGCAAAAATCTTGAGGGCTAAACAATATCTATGAACTAAATTCAGACTTTTGCTTTAAAGAAATATTTTCAAAATTTTTAAATAAGAAAGAAAAAAAACACAAGAGATTTGTAGTTGATGTGAAGCTGTCCATTCCAACTGCATCAATATTACATTGTTTCTGTGTGAATCATATCACCACACCCAGCCATGCATGTGCTATGTATACATGTACAATAGCTTTCTGAGGGTTTCATTCTGTTCTCTTTGCTGCCCCTTACCAGAGTTCTTAATCATCATGGAGATGTGGGCGTGTCCTCTGGGTATCATCGGCACTGACCTGGGGGTCAAAAGGTCATCAAAAAGTCACCAACCCATGCAGAGCTTAATTAATAAGTGAATGTGATACATTTGATGCAAAACAAGCTTTGAGAGAGTGTCTTTGTGACAAATATTGATAAGCTTTTATTATTATTATCGTCTTAATGGCCCGTCAACACATAAAAGGTCGTTAGGGCCATCAACCAGTAAGATATTGATAAGCTGCTGTTTGTATTATTTATCAGAGTTTTATAAGTGTAAGCCTATTGCACGCATGGTTATTGCTGTTGTTGTAATGTTGTGAAAATTTTCCTTTAATTTTTATTAAATTATTTTTTAATTTAATTTTGTTTCATATTTTCAGATAATTTAGGGAATAACTCTATTGTCTTTTGAAATTTGCTGTGATTTATCTTGAATATACTGATCCAAGTAAGCTTACTGGCGATGTATATCACTGTTTTAATTCATATAGATAGAAGTAAAAACATGATAATTCAGAGATGTTTTTGTGTATCATTTAAGAATCTGAGTTTAAAACTACACTGGATTTGCAATGTTAGTAACAATTTTTATTTAAGTATATATATTTATTGACCTGTTTCTGACATTATTTTCATGACATGTCGAGGTCAATTTGGATCAATGACATCGTTATCAATCATTGTCCAGGCTAGATATGCAAATAAGAGGTTTTTTCTGTAGCAAATTATTTTCATTGATCAAACAAGTCTGGTTACATCTCCTAAGAATTAAAATAATCTTTATATTCATAATCATCATCATTATTCAAAATGACTGTTACATTTGATATTCTGTTAACAAAACATTGTGATGACAAATCTGATCAGTTCAGTGGATAACCGTAAAATAGGTCTCTCAAAACCTATCTTATGTACTAACACCATGACATGCAATACTTAAACTTCAAGGCTAACATTTACCAATTAAACAATAACACTGTACACTGGGTTTTAAAAATTTATATGGTTCTTCATATTGGTTTCAAATTTAACTCTACCAAAAAACACAAAATATATATATATATATTTCTAAAATGTCTTTTAATTAAAGTTACAATATCTGTGTAATTCAACGTTTACATGTTATATGAAATGAGATAAGATTGGTTTAGAGCTGATATCAATTAGGTTATTAATCAATAGGAAACAACATTATAATGTTAAATATATATCTGCCTGGTATTTTCAATATTTGATAGATATCTGTTCTTATATAGATTAAAACATGTATTTTCGTATCCTCCACCAATACTGTACATAAGACATACAGTGAACACTGGACAGACACGCAAAAGCCAACACCATTATATCCATACTCAGTATACCCTACACACAAGTTGAAACATCATTATTGACAGCATTGATAAACACAAAAGCTTGTTTATGTATATACAGATTATCAGAGAATTTACGTTCAAGTTATGTTTTCTGAGAAGACTTATAAAGAAAATGGATAATTGACATGTGTCAGTTTCATAAATTTCAGTAAAAAAGATTACCCAGTAACAGAGATGACTGCTAGATTGATGATATTTCTCTGTGCCATTTTCATTTACATATAGAAATGGAACATTGGACACAAAGAGGAAAAGAGATGATTTTACATACAACACCCAAAAGATTAATGGCAGTTCTACATGTATTATAATCTATGCCGAGAACTCTTTTAAAAACTATAGTGTACAACCAAATTTGGGACTCTTTTCACATTTTAGATTAGACAGATGATATAAACAACACGTTTACTTTCACTAATTCTGGAAGTTTCAATTGTCACCAAATAATTAAGAACTATAAGATGGTGATTTTGAATAAATATTAAAAGATCAAACACCTCTTAAAATTATTGCAACTAGTCACAAAAAAAACACATATGCTGCTTGAGAGAGGTTAAAATTTCCATTAATTGAAATTGAAACATTTGGTCCGAAGTTGCTATACTTACTTTCCTGCTGTAATGTGGAAGTTTCCTGCTACTTTGTTCACCTCCAAGGATCCGTGAACTCGACAGGCATCCGGTTGTCCCACAGGATTGTCATCCCTAAAATTTGTTCAAAAAAGATTTCATCAATTCCTACTTGACTTGCCAAAGGGTGTCAGAGTGACGGTTTTATGTACATGTAAGAGAAAATTAAAAAACGAGCTTCAGCTGAGAACCTTGACAAGAATCTAGCCCTGTGTACTGGTGTGATAATCCATGGCTCTACAAACTGAGCCAAAAAAGCATACCCCATCAACAAAATGACCACAACAAACATTGTCAACAAGCCAAGACAATCTGTTCCTTATACATAGAAAATGTTGAAATCACAAGCCGCCAAGCAAAGTATGACCCCTATTACAGTACAGTGTACTTTGTGAGTGTAATGAAGGGGAAGATTATTTACAAATGAGCCTGAGTCAATGTTTTAAGTATCTACCTAGGTGGCATGCCTCGTTTGTAGACGGCAGAGATACCAGACATCCAAAGAAGTTCTTGTATGGCGTGATACTCCTCCCTCAGATAGGCGTTAATCTCCTGGACCACATCCTGGTATTGACGTTGTTTAGGGGTTAGTTGAAAATATGTGTTGTCCATGTTCAAGTGCCCAAACATATTGGTATCTTGTCCAGTCATATCAACTACATCTGCTCCAATAACTAAAGAGAAAAAAATTAATTTCAAATGCGTCAGCATGAAGAGAGTGCAGGACAGAATATCTCTGTTTTCAATTTGTTTCTTTTAGGGGCAGAGAAAGGACAGGGGTGGAAGGGTGGAAAAAAGGAAGATTTTACAAGAACTGTTTGTTTCATTACTTTCACATTTTGAGGCAAAACTTGAAAAAATATGTATTTCTTGAATGATGGAAACGTTAATAATGAAGAAAACATTACAGATGATTTTTTACATTTCTTTTCTAAAGGGAAGGAGTGATGGTGTAACTTTTTAAAAGAAGACAATAAAATGAGAGATAATCTTCAATGAGATTTGTTTCAATGTAAAGTTGTCAAAAAGACTGAATATTTCTTCCTTCTGAGAATTATATTCTGTATCATGAATATCTTAACTTCCGTAGGATGTAAGAATAAATCATTGTAACAAGGAGGACAATGACTCTTTGTATTTTATTTTATTTTCAATCATATTATACATACATTGACAAGGCATGGCTACTGTCATATCAATGTTGATCTTCAGCTTCCTGTGAAATAAAATAAAAGGACTTTATTTACATCTGAAATATTGTCTACAAAAGCAAAACAATGCATGTAATGCTGGCATATATGCATGTGCAAGAAACCCAATGGGCCATAATGGTACACTTGTTTTTCAGCTTACCAAGACTTGGTCACTTCATTAAGTCAATTCAAGGTGTTCATCTGCTTAAAAGGCTATAATAATTTTTGCCACAAAAAATCCATGTACATCAACAATTTGGTCCTTAAAACTCCAGTGTTGTTTCATTGAACTTAGTTTACAGGTTTACATTTCAACTTCCTTGCAGAGAAGAGGTGGGGGTTATAATTAATTTTAGAACATATTTGAACTAGGATATAGGGCATGTAAGCAAAATTTTGGAAGAATTTAAATTCACGCTCCAATTTTCATGTTCAAACGAAATCTAACAATGAAATTAAGAGAAGACAACATTACGCATCAGCATCTGTATCGACTTCATAGTCAAATTTGAGCTGGGTGGAAGCATAGTAGGCAACTTCTGACATCACAAGGACACCGATAAGGATGAAGACCACAATGGAAACTGAAAATCACAGAAAACATTATCAACTTCACAATAATGTCAGCATAGTTTTTTCGAACAATGTTTTTATGCAACAGTCAGGGACATAAATATGAAGATAAGTCAGTAGGGACACCAAGAAGGAAATAAAGAAAGAATATAGAAAGAAAGAGCTAGGCTGACAAGATAACGCAAAGGGTGGTATTATCCACCTTGCCCCACTGTTTAAAACAAAGTCACACAATCATATATATATGTTAATAATATAACAAGTATGTCAGATTACACTGTTCTGTGTTGATACTTTTTAAAAAAAAATATATCTGTACATGTTAAACAAATTCATATATAGAATAGAATCATGCAAATTCTTAAAAACCGTACTTCCTCCTCCTGAGGGTGTCGTTTTCTTGTAGTCATCTGGGACTTTGGGAAAGGCATCAAGCTCCTTCACAACTTTCAAAGCTTGTTTCTGATTAAGGGCATTCAGTCTCCGCATTTTGGAAATCCAAGAGCTATATATGGAACATAATATACATGTATAGTTCCCAAATCAGTGAAGAATCATCCATCTGATTATTACATTTACATACAACTTTAAGAATATCATAGGAGGCTCATATGGCCTTCAGCACATCCTGACTGCATACTAAGACCAGAAAAACTTCCAATTAACTGAATGGAAATTATACCTTACCATTTTTCTCAATCTATCATAAGTCAGAGATGCCATTAACAGGACTCAGAACAGTTTTTACCATTATGTCTGTTAAATATATGTTCTATAAAAGGATGTATGAGGCTGGTCTTTATGCTAGACCTCAAAACTTTTCAATTTTACAATGATGTTCTAGATTTCTAGCATGAAACATCAACCCTGTCTACCTAGTACCTACGGACAAAATATCAACACCGCAGATTTGAATATCAACCTTTTTAAGATCAAGTAGAACTTGCACCCCTGTCATTACTGAAAACATTTGGCAACATGCTGTTTTTTCTAAAACATATTTTCTTTTGTGATTGATTTATCAAGCTTCACACAACTTTTATATATAATGATATATCTATCAGCTTTCAATTGCTGAAATGTGGAAGAAAAGTACATGTTCAAAGGTAATAAGAAGAAGTAATGAAAAACACCCTGCCATCACTGGGGCTCAAACTAGCAACCATTCTGCCTCAAGCCAGACACTTCACAACTTGACTAAAGGGAAGTTCACTCTAGCTGAGGTTAAAGAAGCTGGCATGACCTCTCAACTTCTACACAACATTTTGACACTTTCAAAATAACTTTATTGTTCTCATAATGCACACGTATGTTTATTCTGTGATGTTTGAACATTGTTGTAATGGGGGTTCGTTGTGACTTAGTAAACTAATTATTTGTAATTATTTCCTTTCATTTTGCACCAATTTTCTTTTCATTTTGTATCTTGTTTGTTAAATTCATCTGATGAGGATTAAGTTTCGTAATTTTCACACCTGAATGCCCTCCTATGTGTGACATACTTTGCACATTTGTTGCTATTACGACTGATTTCATGAGTCGTAAGTAACTCATTCCTTCTCTATATCATCTCTGTGTTTATGTTCACACTCTCTGACAGTCTGAAATATAACGTTTAATTGGAACCAGTGTCTAACGGCAGTCGAATTTTTACAGCAAGACGTATAAATTTTCGCTTACTTATATATATGCATATTATCAATTAATCAAGAACTGAATATCTATCTTACTTACGTAGGTGGTTAACAGTAACCGGTCAGTTATAGCACATCCCCTTCTTCTCAACAAACCAAAACTTATTCTGTGATGTGTACAGGAAGTTTCTTTTGAAAGGATACTTTTCGAGGCGAACATGGTAAAGTATTTCCGGAATTTTTAACCCCCATGCCGACGGACTTTAACATATAGCAAGCAATATGACATATCTTCAGTATATCAAAATATTATTTGTAACACATTTTAGAGAATTTCATGATACTAACACAGACTTACAATGTACATATATGATTTGAGACTCTGGTACAAAAAAACGTTTCTGATAGTTGATTTATGACGGGTGGACAGAGAGGGGTATTATTCTGGATCCATATGCCTTCTTAATGCCGTTTTGAAATCTCCACCTCTTAACATCCGATTCCCATCCATAATTTCCATTAACCGCACTGTCTTACAATGTTCTGTCCCGTATCAAAGCTTTTCCTTTTTTCTTGAACTAGTTTATTGCTAGTCCTAATAAAGGAATACTTGATAATAGTGATGAAACGGGCAGTTCTAAAGTATCCACGTGAATTGTCGATTATTTTGTAGCATTATACACACGGTAGTTAATCTTTTGCAATTTTATTTCACATGCAATGCTATGAAAATTGGAACTTTGAACAGCTTGAATAGTTTTCACCTTTATTTCTTTAGTTGGAACAGAGACGTATATAACACGTCTCTGGTTGGAACACCCCACTTACTAACTGTTTTCAGTGTTGACATTCCAGGATGCTTGTGTCAACTTCCCTTTTTCCCCTCGATCTTTCTGGATCATTTTGCAGATATTAATGTTTCCCGCCCAGTGGCGTAGCAAAACATTTTTAGGAGTGTATGCTTTCAAGAGAGGATCCAAGGGCGAAGCCCCGGTTAAGGGGGTCTAGGGGCGCAGTAAGGTTAAAAAAAGCAGGGCAAATATATCTCAATGGAATTCGAGTGTATGTTTAAGCATACAAGCATACATTATTGCTACGCCTCTGCCGCCCTGTTACTCCCGGCTCTCGTTCTCTTATCCCTTCATTTATCGACTTCATGCAGATCCTATGCAGCTATTGAAGACATACCGCGTCGCGCATGCGTGGATTTTTCGCTCCCGTTGAAGTTTTTTACTATAGATTATATAGTGGCATTTCAATAAAAAAATATTGATATATCGTTTTGTAGACAAAAAAATCCAAAATAAAAGCCCCTGATCAATAACTTGAACATTTCTTCGTTACGAATACTTTTTTTAAATTTTTAGATGAAAATTAGATGTGTCGTTTTTTAGTTGAAATTCGCACATTAATCTCCGTCATAGTCTTACCAAATTTTTTAACAAAACGATTATTTTGACAACTTCAATGTAAAATAAAAGGAATGTTATGTATAAATCTCCAAAAGAGCGCCTCTGACTATCATGGCAAGTAAAGTAACTTTCCAACGCATTGATATAACTTTGATAAACTTGAATTAAAAATTAGTTGTGTCAGTTTTTAGGTGAAAATGGTACATAATTTCAATTCACAGTCCCAAACACGGCATCAATGCACATGTATCGATGAGTCATTACGACAGACTGCTGTTTATATATAGTGAATAGTCATATTTTTCAAAGTACATTTGATAACTTCGAAATAAAGGATTTCATATTTAATTAACGAAATGAATAACCAAAATATAAACGACATTTCCACATAGCGGCTAAGCTGTAACCAAAATAGGTGTGAATATCAACAATTACTGGAGTTTATTTTAACGCCTCGATTTTTTCCCTTTTTTCTTCATTTATTTATCTTTATGATGAAGATGTGTACAATGTACATGTTTTATGAGAAGTGTATGATGTTACCATGGTTATAAAAGAGACATTCATTCTTGATTTTGTTTGATCCGTGTTCTGGAATTTTAAAGAAGTAGGACGAGACAATAATAGATATAAGTGCTTTCAAGACTTGGTTAAAAGAAAATTGAATTATGTTGGCGGACTAGTATCGCATTTAGTACATTGTAAATCATTATATTGGGCTTGCAAAAAATCACTGACTTGTTGCTTGAAAATTAAGAACATGGATTGATGTTGCAACAACCAAGCAAATGTTCACATAAATGAAAAAATATAAAGATAAAGTAAAAATCTTAATAAGAAACAAAATGTTCAATGAATTCGAGATTTGGTCTGTACTAATATAATGGGTTACTTCAATATATAGTTAACGGTAGACGTTGTTGATCCCGTCCAATCCGAATCCTTGATCACGAGTTTTCACTTGTTCATCCTCCATTTTCAATTTGCTACATTGATAATCAGTTGTTCTGTTTAAAATGTTTTCAAATTCTAGATCTTCTCGCAGTTTTATGTGTTTTAAACCAAAATCCAGAGGTGTCTTTATCACACGTCCCTGACCAAATCAGATGATTTCTTCGTATATGGACTGTAGTAATGTGTGAAATCATATAAGTCATATAGTCGGACGATGAGAAATTAGCCAATGAGTCCAGGTAAACCACAGGGGTTCTCAGTTGTGGTTTTACTAGCGCGTCTTCCGAAATAACTGGCCATATGCACTCATATGATAAAATGTTATGCTTTGATTCAACAGAAATTATTGAACTGAGTTGTAACACTCTGATTTTTATAATAATCATTGAAGGCGGTTATTTTTTGTTTGTGATTTTGAGCATGGATATTCATTCAATCACCAATTCAATTCAAGTCCGACATGTTATGTAACCTCTATGTAGGCTACAACAGATACCTTTATAACCATGACTGCACGGGTCTCCGAGTCCAAGTCTGACAAAATCACTCGTCCATGACTGACCCCATTCTTCCTGTTGGCTCTCGTGCATACGGCTCGACTAGCGCTAAGGGGACGTAACTTATGGTATCTCGTAGAATTAAATGTAGTTGCATATGATCCAAATAGGTTCAAAATCTCACCATATTTCAGTTTTTTTCGTGAAAATTTTGCTGCCTAATTTGTTATGTTAGACATGAATATCTCTTGACAAGTTGGCTTTATTAGTTGTATTGAATTTCAAGTGAAACTGTATAGGATGTATGCAAATGAGTGTATACCCACACAAAAGACTTTATATACCCATATAACAAATTCACAAAAGGGTGGATGGTGGGATAGTGCCCTAGGCTCGGCTTTAGCTTGACCAAGTCTGGTTTACCTCCAAAATAGATGATGGGAGTACCTGTCGTAGGCTCGGTTTCAGCCGGACCCAAGGCCATAGATCTCAAAGAAAGCAGACGGTGGGAGTGCAACTACACGAAAAGGAAGCCTTTACTGTCTTTAAAAAGATGAAAAATATATAATGTAGAAAACTGCACAATACAGCAGCTACGCCCTTATTTCTCGCGTCAGTGATATTAAGGTCCTGAAATTTTGAAGTACCAAAGATTACTAACAATTGTTCCTTGTGTTAAACTTCCAATGTAGTTTCTATAAGCATGAATAACAAGTTTAAGAGACAAACAAATCTCAATAGGACATAGAGTGGGACGATAAGAAATTATCCCACTAAAGATATGGCTATACTTCACACCAGTTCAGGTAAACTACAAGGGTTCTCAATTGGTTTGTGATGTTTTGATTCAACAGATATTGTTGAACTGAATTGTAACACTCTGATTTTTATAATGACAGTTGAAGGTAGTTATTTCTTGTCTTTGATTTTGAACATGGATATTTCTATTATCACAGATTTAGATACAAAATCAGTCCGATGTGTACCGTGCTATTACGGACTAGTAGATATGTATCCTATATGTAGGCTACAACAGATACCTATATAAACATGGCTGCACGGGTCTCCGAGTGAAACAGTACCCACTAAGTCTGTATTAGCACAGTGTGTTATTTGATATAATCATTTATCCATAACTGGCCACATTCTTCACTTGGGCTCTCGTGTCTGCGACTCAATAAGCGCTAAAGGGACGTAACCCATGGTATTCCGTGGAAATAGCTGCATATGATCCCATGTATAATTTGTGACATATCTGCATGGATGAATTATTCATGTTGATTGTCTTAATTTTGTTCAAAGTTTAATTTGTTTCAATGAGTCTAGGCGTTTTGCTTTAGAAGAAGAATTTGCTCAAGCATTGAAACTACAAAATAAATTGATCACTGTAACCTTGCATATAGGTCAAGGTCATTTTTTAATTTTTGTTGAGTTTTAACCGGCTAACCAGATATCATGAGTCTAGACTTTTCTTGATCTGGATATGATATGTGAGCATCTTTGAAAAATGGCCGTTGTGACGTTGAACATATTTCAAGGTTATGTCTATTCACAAAGTTTAATGGGCTTAATCCTAGGAAGCAATCACCAAAATATATTGATTATAGGCCTTCCAGTAAATGAGAAGTTGTTTGAGCAGTTCTCAACTAATTTGCTGCTATGACCTGAATACATGGATCCTGAAGCAATGTTTAAAAACTTCGTCCTAAGAATCTTGTAGAGAAATATCACAATTCTTGACATTTTTGTAAGTCAAAAGAAGCCATTCAAGCATTTCAATAAATTTTATCCCAGTGATCTTGAAAATGCGTCAAGGTAATTTCTTTTTACCAAGTTTGTTGAGCTTTCTCAAACGAAGTAACCAGCCAGATATCTTGATTCTTGGACTTCGGGTTAATCAGAAGAAGTTGTTTGAACATTTAAACCTGATGGGCTATTGGTACAATGAATATTTGGCCAAGGTCATTCCTTATAGAAAACTTTACTGGGCTTCACCCTAAAAACTTTAAGACAAAGATAATGATTCTAGGGTTTTCTGTTAATAGAAAGAGGTATGTTTGAGCATTTTAACAAGATGATTTCTTTTTTCTCATCAACCTTCCGTAATTTTTCATAATTTTAAGTCAATTACCAATTTGAATTATTTCATGACTATCTTAATCAGCTGGATTTAATTTCATTTAATAATGGAAGACATCAGAATTTTCAAATGGAATGGGTTCTACTTGTCTGGAACTCTAAAGATTTAAACAAGAAAGAAATAAATAAAAAAATGAGTTACAGATTTGATTATCTCCCCTTGACTATAAAGTTTACTTCAATATCTTCAATAATCTGGCCTGTTACAGATTTATCTACAAAGTTTTTTTTTTTCAATCACCAAAATATTTGTTGCCTTTTCTCCATTTTCATACCAGTTTGTCTTTGGTCTTAATATTGTTAATACTTAAGGTTTTCTGATATTTTCCAATTGCTGTAGATTTTTCAGTTGTCGTTTTAGGTTGTTTTGAGATTTCCTGTGTGTATTTGGGATTATCCTCACATCATTTGACTCCAAACATTACACACTGAATGATTATCAAGCCCTCCATTTGGTCACTAATTCAGTTCATACGAAATGTGAAATTAGGTTTTAGATGCAAATTGCTGGGGCATAGCTGTATGTGCCTGAAGAGTCTGAAGTTGTAACCACATTTATTCAGTATAGACATCACACCCCAACAACATGATCTGTGTTGTTTCTAATGCGGAAATATCAGCATTTAGACAGTTTTCTATTTTATTTTTTTTTCATTATAGTATTCTAAGAATTCCTATAAATAGCTGATCATTTATTTTTAATTTTGATGTTTCAGCCTTTTCATTATTCCATGAATTACAGTATCCTTCAATTGTTCCCACAATGCATTTTTGATTTGCTGTTTATAAGTTTAATCTTTCAATAAGACATGAATGACAAGTTTTACTTCTCGAAATAATTTTGCAGTCCATTGTTCATGAAAATTTGGATTTCTTTGTATCCAAGTAAATGATTTTAATTTTGGATACAACTGCCTCCAAGTAACAACCAAATCATATCCTTTTATTACTTCTAATGCCTTTGGATTATTATTGTTAAATATCATAAGTCTCCAGATTCTATATCATGAACAGCATTTCAATCATCACTGATGGATTCTGAAAAGCTTGTAGTAAAAAAGCTGGGGAATTAGGACCCGGACAGTCTATTGTTATCCTACTTTGATTCCTGGATATGTCTTTAATAATGAATCCACATGCTCTGTCTACCCAGGTACCATTTATAGTAAATTCAAATATATTTCTAAACAGAATTAGATAAAATATGTAATATATGAAGTCTATGTATCAGGGGAGACAACTGACTTATAATGTCAGATATGTGTAAGAGGAGATAATAATGTGTAGGATAATAGACATATATGGGGAGACAATAAACCACACTAAGTCCGATGTTTGTTGATGAGTTTTAATGACAATAGAACAACAACATCACCACACTCACATCCTGGTAACGAACGCAATGTCATCATTTTGTATAGTTTCACCGTAATATCTCATATATATATACTATTTGGTTTTCTTTCTTTTTTTTTTCAAATTAAATGTATCTATTTTTGTCTGCACTAAGGAATGTATCTGAACACAAAACTTATTTGCATCATTAAGCTGTGAAACATATCAATATCATTTGAAAAACCAGCTGGAATAATTTGTATTTAAGTACAGTCAAACCTTGTTTAAAGGACACTTGTTTATAACAAACATCTGTTAATAAAGGTCAGAGGTTTCTGGAGCAAAGGTTACATCCTTTACATGAATTCAACCTCAATATAATGGTCGTATGTATTCTTAAACTGTTTTCTCTGCTCTCTTAGGTTTGAGTGTAGTGAAAATTAATAAAATAGGGAAAAATACAATTTTTCAAATTTTGAATATATCAATAAAATGAGAACATAAAATTTTATCTAGCCTTGTTTAATCTCATAAGAAACACGTAATGAAAATATACATATCGTATACATGTATGTACAAACTGGAGACAAAAGTCATAGGTATCTAAAACAATCATAGCATTCATTTAATGAATAAAATGTTTCCAAAAAGCCTGAATTCATCCTACTTGTAAATTTGTACATGATAAGGTCACATATTCCTATGTAATATAACTTGAAAAAATATCAGGTTATGTTAAAATGTAATCATTTCAGAAATAAAAATCAAACAAGATTTGCTATGATAGAAGCAAAGGACAATAACCCAAAAATCTGCAAAATTGTTGAAGAAGTTTTTGTTACAATTTCACACTTAAACACTGAGAATTCTCTCCAACATCTAGAGTATTTATAAGTTATCAGATAAGTCAAGCACTAAATTATCTTCCTGCCTTGAATCCTTGCTCTAATAGGAATTATCATGAATGTAGACAAGTTATTTCCCTTTTTCGAATCTTGTGTGGTGGAATTAAAAAGAGATACCTCTCACCAAAATACGGCAAGATTTCATGGTCAGATAATTAACTAACAGTGAAATATGTGTCTGATATTCGAAAAAATCTTGTCTTTCCATAACTACAAATATTCTCATACAGAAAGAGTACCTTAATACAGAAAAAAGGTAAATTTAAACCAGCAAATTAAAAGATTGAATATTCATTATGGCATTGTTATATATAATACCTTATTAATGAAGGAATATCATGCTATATCAGTACTTATATGAACTTCCAGACAAAATCAGACACATACAAGAAGATATGATAATGATGAGATCTTCGAACATGCAACAACTGATAGGCCTACTTTGTATCTGCCGCTATGTCACTTGACTGAGTTGCCCCATTAACATGTCAAATGTATCACCTTCATTTCAAAAGAGCTCTTTGTTGCAATAACTTCTATAACATCGAGGGTGGCAATCAGGAACCCTCAAGGGTTCCCGATTGAGCAGGGTGGTTCAAAGATGGATAAGCTTACATCATTCCTATGAAACTATTCAGTGAGATGAACATGCAGGTCCAGGGAATGTTGGTATAATGAAATAAAGCAGACGAAAAAAGAACTCAATATTTCACAGACACAAACTTCAGTCACTCTTTTATTTCACTAAAATATACATTAATCACACAAAATCCTTTCATAAATTAGAGTGAAATGATTTCAAAATGAGTTGATGATGAAGATGGCGATGATGATAAAGGTGTAGATACTGGAATACTATAGTTAGGACATTACTTCTATAACAGATATGACTTTATTTAATTTCCAATGAAATTCCTGACAATTTGATCTTATGCTTAACAGAAATACAAAAATTAAAAGTGAAAACCACATACAATACTGAAAAAATACAGCATAGTTCTATGATAAAACAGGTTATAGACAATATAAAAGATGAGTAGGCCATAAGCATAGATAAAAAAATGAAATATCAGGTTTGACTCTGAAGTTTATTATGTTGTACCATGTAATAGAATTTCTTACAAATGAGAATCTCTTTGGTCGGTTTTGAGTATCAATATATGGCTAAAGCATTATGCAAATTTTGCACTAACATCTGTGAATGAAAATATGAACAGAAAGTATGCTTTTATTGCAAAAAAGATGCACTCTGAAATTGATCCATGTACAATATAGATTGATTCTAATGTGTTTCATGTAGTTCAAAATCATTTCAATGAAAATGATTATGAAAATTGAAAATGCAAGATTATGAAATTTGAAATGAATTTCATTAAAATTCAATTTTCTATTAAAACTCAATTTTCATATTTAAAAATGAATTATTTTGTGCAGGAACACATGGAGTTTTGATATACACAATTAAATTAAGTATCTTTCCACCAAAGATTAATCAACAAATTCTCGTGAAATTAGGCTCTCTAAAAGAGAATATCACTCTATGGAATTGTTAGTCCACCTGAGCAAACAACACAAACAACTGCTTTCCAGGTTACTTCTAATACCAGATTCTCTAACTCCATTTACAACACTCAACTGTCTTTCTGTTTGCATAGCTCTGAAAAAGTTAGTCTAAGGATTAGTAACAAAGTCATCCTGCAAAATAAGTCCAGGGGCCCGACACAAAAATTCTGAATCAATGAGTGGGCTTATTGCCAGTAATAATATCAATAAGCGTGGCCAGAGTGATCTACCATCGAACATACAGGTTGGATTAGTTTAACGCCAATAAAATCAAGGCAAAAATAGAAATTGTGAAGTTTTCCCTAGGAATCACAGCAAAGACAGACTCATTTAATGATTGAATGGTTGTGATTCTGTCCTGAACTATAAAATATTTCCACAGTACTTCTATTTGCATGTACAATCTTTACTTGATTTTGTGATGTCACAATTATAATCTGAATATGATTGTAACTGTTATTAGCTGCTTGTTTATTTAACACTCAAAGTAGGGCAAGCAAAATGGAGATAACTAACTTTGAAAGACAGCTATTGTTGTTAAACTTCCATTATACTAAATCCAGAACTAATCACAGTTTTGTTTATTATTTTGTCCGAATCATGACCCATGAATTTGATGTTATGCCCCTTGTATAAGTTCTTTTGAATAAGGTCAAGTTTGACCTGTGACTTCTGAACTCTGACCTTATGCAAGTTATCAATGATGAGCATATGCATAAAACACTTACGAAACAAAGAAAAACTTAAACAATAGAATACATATCTGCTGCACTGACATATATATGAATATATTAAATGTAAGTATTCTGGGATATTTACAGACTGAACAATATAAATCTCATAAAAATAATAACAAAGTAGGCATTTTCAACTTGACCAAAACAAAATACGATAATGATGTAAGTATTTGGCCATGTTAAGTACCATTCCTGTTTATAGATATCATCAGTGCATCAAGTATCCTTTATTGCTGAAGTTTGTAATACCACAATATCATTAATTTTTGTCAAGATTTTATTTTCATGGAATATGTATTAGTTTTAGCAATATCTTTATTCACTATTCAACAATTAAACAAATACATACAACAGGTATGGAACGGGGAAACAAGCTTAGAGCTTCTAATAGTTGAATATGTAGTTATTCCCAATCCACCAAGTTATATGTCCATGTAACGATGAACAGATCAACACTGACCAGAATCATAGTACTAGTGGATTTCTAGACTGAGATTTATCCACAAAAATAAGTGTTAATGAAAACTTTTGTAAAACCATGACAATTGAGTCTCACAAAAATATAGGACTTTTCTGTACTTGATGTACAGTTGGAATGTTTAGGTATAATTCTCACTTTGTGTCCTTCTCTGACGAAAATTTAAATACAGAAAATAACTTTGTTATCCTAGTTACTTCCTGAAATACGACAAGTCTACAATTCATTTTAACATATTTTCTTACATCAATAAAATGTAAGGCATAGTTCACTTAGATATTTGATTAAAATCTCAAAAACGTTTATTTTATCTTTGAAATAATCTCAAATTGAAAAAAAAGGAGCAACTACATAAGGAAAACATAATTCATTTCTCACATCTATTGAAATATTACTGTCACCCAGAGAGCACCATTCCCTGGCATTCTTACCAACTGGACAACCAGACAAACTTCAATACCTCAAAATGTCTCATATTCTTTTTATATTTTTGTTTTTTGTTTTTTTTTTCTATTTTGCCTCTTGATGAGTTTAATACATATAAACAAACAGATTCACAATACAAAAATAGATATAAGGACAAAAACATCTGTATATGATAATCATAGCAAAATAAATTTTGAGTTGAATATTTGACAGAAGACATCAACATGGCACGTACTTGTCAATCACACTGTCCTTACATAATAGAAATAAACAGATGATATTACAGTTGATTCATGAAATGCAACATTTGTACCTGAAATTATGATAAGCACACTACAATTTCTCACCATATTTTATCATAATTACTTGAAAGAAAAAAACCAACAAATGTTTGCTCTATATCATGTAAGACTTACAAAACACCATGAGAACAATTGAATCATCTGGTAATTAAATGGTACTTATCTTGTTGTTTTAAAGGCCCCTAGAATGCCATCTGTGAACAGATGCTTATGAATTATTCTGTAAATGATTTGCAATGATATACATAATCTACAATAACTATCAGGCATTTAACATATACAGAGTTGATGAGTTATCCCCCCTTACAAAGTCTATAGGCTGCCTTACTGCTGCACTTAATGACCTCTCACATGTCTTGGGCAATCTAATTACACTAAGTTGTGGACTAGACTGACAACACTGTAGCAATAGTCACAATTTTTGTGTGTTGTCATCAAAGAAATTTCACTGATGTGTGTCAATCTTGAAGTGTAATGGAAGAGGTCAGTGCAGTGTGATACAATTATCTCTCTCTGTCACCACAATGATGTAAAAACTACATCAGACTTGACTCCTAGAATACATCAATACTTCACTTCTGTTCATCGGTCATCACAACTTCTCTTGAAATGAAGATTGTACTCTACAAAGGGATTGGCTGTATCCTCTGGAAGCAGAGAACATGGTGCATTCTGGTCCTGTAGATGAAATCAGTATGTTACAAAAGGCTTTTAAACACAAATATATTGTCCTTCCTCTAAATCTAAAACAAAATTCAACACATGATTTCAAAATCATACAAGCATTGATCAATGTGCTTCAGAGTTCCCACGTTGGAATAAAAACACAAATTTTTACTCAAATTCTGTGTATTCTAAGGCAAACTTTCTAGTATCAATACATGTAAAAACGTTTACAATAAAAGATTTACATTTTGTTAAAGGTGATAAAACCCTTACCCGTGCTGTAACCCTGAATTTGAAGGTACTGAAGAAGTAGACTCCAATAGGCATCTTCCACTGTAAAGTAAAAGATAAAAAGCTCATCATATCGCAAAAATGTCATGAATATATATACACTATATACATAACTTACATAAGCAATTGGTGCCAAATTTATGTAGATTCAGTGCCTTGGTCCACTGTAGCTTCTTACAGAGCATCTTTCATCAGATTAATTTCTTTGCATTGAAAAAACAAATGATGTAAGCTCTAACAAGCATACATACCTCATTCTCTGATTCATGTTGAATCTCCATTTGAATAGGATTGATAAGGCAGCTTATATCTGAATCATTGAAACACATAGAAACAGCCATATCTGCTTCCAGGCTGCAACAAAACAAAGTATGGTTGTTGTAAAATTTATTCTATGGAGATATGAATACAAATTTTACAAATCTGCCTTTTGAGGCAAATGAAATCTTTCTCAATAACGGAGGTTTGGCTGATTTTACAATGTAAAATAGTTATTTGGCAACAAGCCCATGCCTGGTAATAAACCAATCAATATATGTTGCTGTTCAGTTATATAAACAAACGTTATTTCATTTTATTGTAACAAACTCAGCCCAGTTATTGATTATTGACATTGTGGCCCTGGAAATGGCCCTGCCTCTAACTTTCAGTAAGAAGTAATGTGTTGGCAACTGACTAAACAAAAGCAAATCCGATCACTCAAGCTTCAGACTAAATTTGGTCAAAATATGTCCACATTGATGAAGGACAGGTGATTCCTTATTTTGTTTTCAGTTCTTATTGGATCAATCAATTAACCAATCAAATTTCTTGTAAAAGAGTCAAAAGTTAATTTTTGAATATATACACTTGAGCACATTTACCTTCACAGAACCATGAAGGAACATGACACATAAAACATACTAATGATAACCCAGGATATTAACTAAAACATACTTGAACTTAATGGTTACAGGCTGGAATTCAAAGTACTGGCTCAATCTCAGTAGGTATGTCTTGTTGGTACTTGTGCAGTTGCTGCAAAATTTTGAGTCAAACTCGAAGTCGAGCTCTTTTAAGAAAACTCTTGCCTTCAGCTGATCTGTGTAAATCAAAAACAGTTTGTAAGAATACAACAGGTAGAATAAAAAATCAATGCACGACTAAGAACAGGTAAGAAAAGAAATCACTGAAATCCCCCAAAATATGCCGTCATTAGATTTGCAATTAGTTCCTTTCAATGATGTTGAGGTCCAAATTTTGTCAAGATTTCATTGCTCATTTACAGGTGAAGACATTGCTACCTGTCCAAAATTAACTCTAAAAGGATGAAAACCTCCCGAGGGGCAGATAACTGACAAGATTAAAGGTCACTTTGTTAGTGTACGGATAATAAAAACTAGGATCTCAATCCTCGCAGTAGCCTACACATATAAATAATTTGGATAACAGGACAAAACAATTTTGAGGAAAATGATGAACCAGTTTGTCTACTTTTAAAATGTAATGTTTTCAGGCACAAATGCCTATCTGTAGAAGCAAATAGAGACCATGAAAGTTTCTGTAGAGACTCACTAGAGTTATATTTCCCTGACACAATGGGAGTTTACATCAATTCTTAGTTCTGATAGGTATACGAAAAATTCAAAGTTTTTAATCAAGCTATATCATTTTGTATTAGTATAATACGTGTACATTTTTATTTTTGCGTGAGTTTGTACCTGCTGTGACGAAACGCTTGCGTCGGTGTGACACTTTGACCTCATTGCTATTTGTGTCCCCATTATTATAATTGTATCCTTGGGTGTCTGTGTTGGAGTCATCAATGCTGTTGACAATTACATTTGGTTCTTGATCTTCAGGCTTCACCGTCTTTAAAAAAAGGTCATATAATGAAAAATCATTCTTATAAATGCAGGACAATTCTGGTAAAAGAAAAAAGCAATTTGGTGTAACTTGAAAGACTCCCCAAAACAAGTTGATAAGTAAGCTTCTAATTAATCATTACTATCACTTCCCCTGTAAAGACCTCTTCACATAGCTGAGGGAAAATTAATAATCTGTCATCACAACCAAGCATATTTTTCATGGTTTGAATTTTTTTATACCTTTAAACCTAAAGACAGATGAAAACACCTATAAAGCATAAGTATCCGTGGAAAACCTGTGTTGTTACACAAGAGACCCCATACATTTATGGTTCTGATAGGGGAATTGAACCCTAGTCCCCTTCGCCTAAGGCAAGTGATTTACCACCATCCAAAACACTTAAAAAGCTGCCAACTTACCACTGGTACAGTGTTGACGCGAGGTAAGGCATTACCAGTCTGAGGTGAAGCACGAGATGTTCCCGGACTGGCAGTAATTACGTGGTATCCTCCTGTGTTCCTTTGTGTATCGTTATCAACTGGTGAAGGAAGGACATCGGTTACAGGGACATCCTCGTCTGGAGGCAAAATTAAAAAACAAATTCTAATGCTTAATGAAGACTTGTGATTGCTTCAACTGACTTAACAGTTTTAAACAGCATCTCTCTTATCTTCTGTCAACCTACTTTCCTACAATATCCAACCTTGTTCATAATCTTATCACACACAAAACACTTTGATAATCCAACTGATCACATTTATGACCACAAGAAAATACTTAAAAAGTAATCTTACAATTTCTGGGCTGAAATTTACCTTTCCCCCCAATTCATATTGTATTTTTTCCATCAGTTTTCAGCGTGCAAAGTAGTTTACTGTAAGCAGTTTTATTAAGCACATTCCTCTGTTAATTTCTTTTTTTGATAATGAGTTGACTGAATTTTGAAATTTTCAAAGATAAACATATTGGAAGGCAGCTGCAATGTTTGTGCAAGAAATCACTCACTTTCAACAGTGTTTCTGTTGCTGTTCCTCCAGGGTGCATACAGTGGCCCTTCCTGGTCATGTTGTTCAGGTGGAGGACAACACTGGCGCTCATTACAGGTGGTGTTTGGGTCACATGGTGGATAGGGTGGAATGATCAGCTGGGGTGATCTTGCTATAACATACACAAAAGACACACCTCAACAATCCCAGAACGTACAATATAACATACCCATCAGGCCATTTGTGGTGAGAAGTCCATCTGTTTATATAGTTATGTTTGGCAGAATCATTAACCTAAATCATTTGATTAACAGGTCTCTGATAAGCCCATCCCCCTTACTTTTATACAAGAAGTGATGACATTCCCCATCCTTCCCTCTATTCCTTACCCTATCCAGGCCCATTACAGAATACATGTAGTAATATTGTTTCAATAAGTGTTTTATCTAAAACGTTGAGGTAATCTGTCTAATTCTGTTAAATTGTATATTTTTCTACTGCTCAATTTTATTTTTTTTTAAATAGAATTTCACAGATACTTGATTCTGTGGATGAATTAAAGCTCAATAAATCTACTTATGATTATTTAAACAGTTCATGGAAGTATGATTTCATAGATGAAGAAAACACAAGAAATTAACAAAAGTAAATCCTCCATAACAATTAATGATTTGCTGTCTAATTTTAACAAGCTGTTTTATTTCAGAGACATTTAGAGTCAATGAACAGGCATTCTGATATTAGTAACTGCTATATCAGTGTTGGTTCACCTGATGTCTCTAGTTCTGTCAGCTTGTGTCTAGAAATAAAGATATGCACGGGTTAAGTAATACATGTTACCAGAAGTATCGGAACATGTGCATCCTGTGCCATTTCAATGAATAAACACAATAAATACACATGTTGTGTAATGGCTTTGTGACCAAATCACAGCTGTGTAACGTTCTGATAATAATGGCAGTTCACAATCTTAAGACTGGTTTCAGCAATACTTACTGATGGCAGGTGTAACCGTACTGGTCGTTACCACTACGGACTCTGTTGTGACAGGTAACACAGGTGTAGTATTGGCTACGAGTGGAACATGATTGGACGCATTTTTCCCGCTGATTGGTCTGGAAAAGATACAACATATCACCAATGTTTATTGATCCTGGTTTTGTAACGTTTTCCTGATTCCCTACGGCCATGCTATCTAGACTATTTATAAGGTATCTTAAATCATGGTATTATGATATTTTTTGAGGAATTTTGAGCAAATATGATCAAAAGAAATCATTGCCAGCCTAAAAATGATTTCTTTGCAAAATGCAATTTTTTTCATAATTTGGTAAAACTGTTAATATTTCAGCGAAAGAAAAGAGATCTTAGCCCCTCCCACTATGTGATCTTTATCTGTTCTTTAAAAAATATATATTTTCCTTTCTTTTCTCTTCTTTTCTCTGTTTTTAATCTAGATAATATGAAATTTGGAAATTCCTCTGAAAAATAGTGATAACATTGTTGAAAAGTAAAAATCCAAGGTTGCTGGTTGGCCATTTTGTTTTCCAATCCCCAAATCGATAGAAAACAACTTGGAACCAAAGGCTGGAGACGAAACCTACATTTATATTCACTGTCAAAATCCAAGTCAGATGGCCACCTGTCAGCCATTTTGTTCTTATGATCAGTCCCAAAATCAAAAGGGCACAACTAGGGACCTTGCTTAACCTTTATACGAAATTTGAGGAAGACTTCTAAAGAAATAATGATAACAATGACAGACGGACAAATGGACAACATACATAGGACATCGCATGATGGTGAGATGAAAAGTGGGAAAGATGACAGAAAAAGAAAGCATGCACCATACAGAGACATATTTGTCTGCCGCACTAAGGCCTGATATACATTTTCTTGTTTAATTACTGGTAGGAAGTGTCACATCAAGTTGACAAAACTGTACAAGTACTGAGTGGTACAGAAACAACAAACAAAACAACAATACTGATGATGTGATGACAGAAGTTGTGTGTGAAAATCGTGGGAAGAAGACCCTCACTGAAAATACAAACCCTGTAAGTAAACACTAGGTAATGTGTCTAGTAAAACGATAAGTGGATGATACGTACTGTGACGGGCCAGCGTTTGGAGTGGCAGCCAGGATGTAGTTAGGATTGTTGGTGACGGTCTCTTTGTTCCGCTCCATTATATAGAGTATGGTGATGGCAATAAGGCTATAAAAACACAAACAAACAGTATCTACTGATCGATCTAGAAAACTCATTACACATTGTGGTGTGTTGATATTTACTGGAAGAACATTTTGTAGGTCATCACTTTTGTTTTTAAATCAATTTGTAAATTTTAAACCAAGGAAAAAGCTTTGTAGCAAATATCAAATTTTAGGGTGCACTATCTTTGTGATACAAGCTTGTTGCTTAATAAATCATATGAAAAATATTAAAACCCTTTTACCTACATATAAGGAATAGGATTGGCTTAACAATTATCCTCATCTCACTGATTCTGTATTTTTTGGAATTCAAATTATAGAAAATTATATCTATACCAAACAACATTTTGTAATATCAAATAAAATAAAATATAGCAGTTATGGATGAGATTCAAAGTTGATAAAAAGTGATGAGTGACAGGTAGGTAATGATGCCAGACCATACTTAAATAACTACAGATTACCTCATAACATAATAGTTACCTCCCCTGCTATACTTACCAAAAGGCCATTATGAGTATCAGTGTGATGATGGTGAGTTGAATAAATCGATTACTACACCATCCTTGGCTATCAGTTGAGGTGGTGGTTGGTCCTGGGGTCCCAGATGTTGACTTGTGCTCCTTATAGGGGACAGAACGTGAACGATGCTTATGGTTTGGTGATGTTCTCTTTGGCATTGAACTGGAACCATACAGAATTATTACATAAAATAATGTATGAATTGATATTATTGAATTCAGGACCTTACATACAAATAGGATGGATTAGAATTTGATATAAAGTGAGTATGGACCTACATCGATAACCCCACTGGCTCCCTGATTTTTTTCTTTTTTCTCATCTGTTAAAATCAGTTGAGGATTCTTATTTCAAAAGTGTTCATTGGTAACCTTTCATCTTGAATGATCTAATCAGGCATAGAACTTAATAATGTGATGTTATCAATATCAACTAAATCGGTATCAGGATTCACGAGATATCTTCTCCACCAGCTTTACACAGATAGACTTAGGGATGCACTGACAGTGATTCATAACGACCCCACTCCACCAAGTGTGGGGTATAATTAAGATACAACATTAGCAATTAATTGTATGTATCCTGTGGTAAGCATACACAGTGACTCAAAGTTAGGGACATGCTTATTGCAGAACAACTGATATACATGTAAACTATACCCCCAGAAATTAGTCAATATATATATATCAGTGACCTTATTACCAGACATGGGCTTATTGTTAGATTTTTCAAATATAGGCTTATTGTCAATATTTGACTAAGACTTACCTAATTGTACTAACACTACAGTTGGACTTAGTACTAACTGTTGATTTGATGCTATCAAAACGTTTTAGTTTTGACAACTTGGTGTTCATTTTCTCAAGCTCGTCAATTCTGACTTCAAGATTGTCAGTTAATTTACAAAGTTCTTTCACAGCTCCAACATTTTCCATAAATATTCTTTCCTGTAAAAAAATATCAAATCAACATTAATGAATATCACATTCATAATTATTCAAATATTACCAGAATTTGAGTTAAATAAACACTGCCTATTGATTTCAGGAAACACTTTCCTTCAATTGATGTAAGCTCAGTCATATCACCAAAGAAACCTCACCTTATTCACGACGAGCAGATTTCTTATTTTCTGACCCCCTGGTAGAAGGACATCGCCTGTTTCCATAACAGCATCAGGTAGGACTTCTCGCACTTCCTGTGCTATAACCCCAGTATCTCCGCGCTTGTCCTCAGGGAGTCCCGCACTCTCTGCGAAATCTGTGCTATACTTGTACTGGTAAATCTTCATTTGGGATACCTTCTTCAACTGGTCCTTTGAGTCCACCTTAACATGACACGAAGCAGAAAGAATATAGAAATGTATATAAAAATATTTTTACAAGTGATTAATCAAAATCGGATTAACAAATTAATAAATGACAGCAGCAACATCTCACTTATTGAACTGAAATTCACAAAAGCACAATTTCCTTATCCAGTCAGGTGATGTCAGCTAGTCCTTCCAATTTAACATATCTTGACTCCAGAAATATTACGTATTCACAGATTTTAAAAAATATTTCAACTGATCACAAGCAACATCAACCTCAATACTAATCATCTGTAATGAAATTTATTATCAAACTCTTTGTCTACTATAACACACACAAACAAATTAACATTCATAATATTGAGATTCATTCATTGATAAAATTATCAGTCTTGGAACTCAATTTCTTCCCATGTTTCAAAGCAGTGCCCTTTAAACAAGTTAAAGAATTTCGTCCAACTACCATACCTCCTTAAGTTCTTCTTTAGCTCTGATATCTGAAGGCTGGAGAATACGACCGTTCAGTTTTATATTGCCGTTAACAGTCAGTGCCTCATCTAAGTGGTCAGTGTTAATTCCAACCCTACCCTCATGGTAAACTCCATTAGGGGTTTGTGCTTTCTGCCATAACACATCAACATCGCTGTCAAACTGGCCAGGATTGGAGGCCTGTATACAAATATCAAGATAAAAATAAAGGTTAAAAAAACAAACATCAACAGTGGCTTGACACTTTAATAAGCACTTTAATATTTTTAAAATCAACAAATTTTAGAAAAATTTCTAAACAAATACCTCAAGGTTTCTAATTACTTCAAAGATTGATATCGTAGATATGTATCTTAATTTAAATTTTTTTTAAAGTATACCATATATATATTTGCCAATTTTGTTAAGATTTTGAATAAGTGGGTAAAGTAATTTATTTCCTTGACAAACTTCATTAGTCTCCACAAAAGCAATATATGCTGTATAATATACACAGACATAACTAGGAAAATAGATTCACTGTGAAAGGGATTTCCATAGAAATTTCTTCTTAATAACAAAGTATATGACTGTTGTAGAATAACACTATCATGATTAACAACACTAAAAACAATGATATCCCATATCTATCCTGCACAAACTCCTCGTCCTCTAATAAACCTGTCCATATACTGTGAAATCATCAATTTTTGCAGGGTATTTATTTTCAATTATTTTGTGGGTACTCTTAAATCAACAACTTTGTATGTCCATGAACTGTTAAAATTAGTTGAAGTAGATTTACTGGGCTACATTTAGCCATAAAAACAAACGTTCATGCAAAAGTAATTTAAAAGAAAACAAATCACAAAGATTTCGCTGCACAAATAATGTCTGATTTTACAGTATCTTGTTACTCAGTAAAATAACATATCAGCAGTATTTCTTCATCCTGTAATAAGCCGACCCTTTGATAAGAGGTCAATTGTTGTAGACTAATTACAGGATAACACAGTAGTATCATAATGTCAAACTTATCATGCTAAATGTAACACCCAGACAACTCACCCTAACAATAAGTCGTTCTGATGCACTAGAAGACACCATATAACTGTTTTCACCACTGTGTGCACAGAGTGACACAGCAAGTTGAAAGTAGCGTTGGTCGGGGTTTGGCCGACCTTTCTTCCTCATGTTGTTGGATGTTGTCTCGCTGAAATGGAGCCGACCCACCGTGACTTTGTTTGTCTGATCTGGGAGCAAGTCTACCTTGACGGGATGGAACATCTTTTTGGTGCGATCTGACTGTGACTGCTCAATCTTTATTAGTTGGTTAGGAGACTCCAGCTGTGTACATATTAAACATTTTGTAGTATTGAAAATCAATTCAGGATTTTTTCAGAACTTGTGCAACAATTTTGCTAATTTTTTCTACTCTACTTCCTTCCATGATGAGGACTATTGAACACCTTTAAGTATCAACCCTAAGATCCACTTTGCTGCCATATAACCAACTACTTTCCTGAGACAATTGTTCTCCTTCCCTTAACTCCAAATAATATATGATTGAAAACATTTTCTTGATCAAAATGTAATAGTAAAGAATTCATCCATATGGTATTCCTGAGATGTTGTCCAGAAACTTCGAGTTCAGACTTTGGAGATTTTCTACAGTTCTCTTTTGTTTCAAAAAAATTGAAACACTGTAAAAGACAATCTTAATCCCTTTCCATCTTTATCATATAGAGGTCATATGCTTCAGAACTCACCTTCACTCCGTGAAAGTGAAGCCAAAATCCATCAATTTTCTTCACTCCTTCTGAAGTGCGAACATATTTAGGGTCGGCACTTATCCCGATGTGAACTGTGACCTGGAAGTGATTCTTTTTCTGGCAGACAAATGCGTCGTCCGACACCGAGAAGTTAAACCCTTTGTCTGAGTCTACTCTGTACTGTGGGGTTGGCCTGTGGAGAATTGTATATAGAATTTTGAAAAGTTACAGATTCTTTCCTGCTATACATCCAAGGTACATACATAGAAATTCTGACTCACAATTAGAAATTGAGTTATCAATATGCACCGGCACTCTTTATACTTCAGGCGGGATTAAGAATTTCAAAAGTTTTGTAATTATGGGCTATTATGAGACATTGACTGTCATTAAAGTACAGTTATTAACTTTTACTGCTCTAGAAAAATACATGTTTTCCATTTAGTTTTATTTTTATAAACTAAACAAGTTTCCATTAAGGTATGTCCTTTTCAAAGCAATATATCTGAGTGGTTACTTCTGTAACAATGTGATGAAAGTTTCTACCTAAATTTCGAGTGTAATTTGGACATGTACTATTGTCCAGAATTAAACTATTATCCAACATTAATTTTCATGTCATGACTCAATTTTTTTTTTTGGCCTTTTTCTTTTTTTTTAAATTAAAATAACATTTTCTTAGGTGTTGTTTCCACATTTTTTCACAGATACATATACATAATGTAGTTTATCAGGTGAACACAGATACATATACATAATGTAGTTTATCAGGTTAACACAGATACATATACATAATGTAGTTTATCAGGTTAACACAGATACATATACATAATGTAGTTTATCAGGTTAACACAGATACGTACAGGTCTTTGAGGTTGGAGTCTGTAAGGACATTCCATTTCTGTAGCTGGTAAGGTTGCCATTTGATCACCTGATACTGGCTGTCCAGGTAACCATTGGCCGATTCAGGGTCATAACAGTTACTGTACTGATCTTCATCAAAGTCCTGCACCATGTAGGGTGGAAATGCAGATGATGGAACAGCTACAAACATTAGCAAATTACTAAAGAGATTGCAATATATGTATCTTTGAAAGAAATTGGGTGTAAAATCAACAAATTAAAAAAAAAAAAAAAAATTGAAGCAGGAAAATTTACGACAGATTATTACATTGTGTTCTAGCACCTGGTAATAACATTGTAAATGATGCTTGACATTCAGAGTTATCTCCCTTATTATATTTGTATTATCATTACTGGTACCTAGTTATTAGTGAAAACAATATATTTAAATGATTAAACAATGTTCTTATGATATTCATACCAATAAATTCATCTGAATATTTTTCCTACAAAAACTTTTCCAGTAAAGAACTGTTCATGATACAACACCATACAACCTTGATATTATTACAAATGTTTGTGATTTTAAAGCCTGTCTTTATAATCACCATTTGGTTCCTGTTTTATGTTCATCGCACCGTTGTTTCTACTAGTGTTGAACAGTGCACTTGTCAGACTTGGACCAGCAGTTTCTGGGTATTTCCTCTTCTTAGCAGCTGCATTTCCATGCATGTTTGGGCTGAAACAGTCACCAGATAAAGTGAAAGCTTTATCATCCTGACTTATAGGCCGTTATAGATAAAGTTTCACCGCTTGATGTCAACATTTGGCCGTAAGTCATAAAGATCTTAACCCTCACAACACTACTGAAAAACAAGTAAATTTTCAATGTAGGTTTTATCTTAAATATATTTATCCCCTACCAGTAGTGTAATTAACCCCTTACATTCAAAGGCAGTGTTATTTATATAGAATATAGAAATGAAATATTCATTCCTTTGTGATTGCTCACAAACAGTTCTTAATTTCATCACTTTTAAAAGAGAAAACAATGCTTTATCTAAAGAAGCTGAACCTTGAATACTAGATACTTCTAAAATCCACTTTCTATGATTAATTGTATAATAATATATATACACTTAGTAAAATGGACTCTGCTAGATTACCTCCCTTTGCTGATCATCAAATCCAAATCCTGATTAATAAGAAATGTCTTGATACAAAAAAAAAATATATATATATATATATTGGACCATCAAAATGATATTTTTAACTCATAAAAATGTTCTTAAATAAGGAATATTGTCCTTTAATATGGATTTTAGCAAAATCCTTTTCATTTGTAACTGTCATCTAAATACTTTCTGGTAAAAACCAGAGCCACAATATTCTCATGTTTGGTATAAATATAAGTTATTCTATACAAATGATTGATACTTAAGGAAAATTAACAGATGTCTACTTAATCAACACCAACAAAGGTAGTATGTGTACTATAAGACTTAGTTGACATAGTTTCCATGTTAAAGTAACTTTAAAACAAAATAAGCTTCAGATAATAATGTAGCCTTAGGCTTTCAAACCATTTCTTGATAATTTGAGCTATAAAAGTTAAAACATAAAGATTTCAAGTGTCTACATGACGCAGGAAAAATTAGATATTATGTGTTTTTTTTTTAACTTTTATTTTGCTGAAAAAAGAAGTTAGATTGATTCCATTATAGAGGTAAGTGATAAGAACTGTAATCAAGCTTTAAAGGTGAGAAGCCTAAAGCTACAATCATGGACAGGGTGTACTCTGTATAGAATACTTTCTGACAGATTCACATCTTTATAGGCTTTCCCGAAATGCTTCTAATTTCTGACATCATGAATATGTTAATTTCCATTACAAACAAAAAGAATCAATCTTTTATGAGTTTGAACGAAATTCATCCATAAAATGGCCCCTTTAGCTATTGGGAAAATATCAGGGAATTTTTGTGAATAATTCATTTTTCACGTTTTTCTAGTTAATGAAATTTGACAAGTTGAGAATAAATGTTAGTTGCATGTAAATGCTAACTTCCATTTTCTTCTTTAAGATTCTAATTCTAGATTAACTTAGTACATGTACACATATGTTAATTGATAATAAGGCAGGGATATGTAAATATGCAGAGTAAACAAGGCAAAATGTAATGTTGACAGCTAGTAATTTGCATACAATGTCAATGTAACGAACTGGGAGAATTTTTAAATCTGATCAAAGATTCCAAAATTTGGAGCTCTTGAACCAAAAAAAAATTAATCAAACAACGTAAATTGCTGACACTTTGATATGAAGTATACATCAATGATATTATGGATGTGTCAGCCTTATCTGTATATCAAATCTTTTCTAACTGTTATAGAGAGGACTGGAAGAAGGGGGTCTATTGATCAAGCTCTTCTAAACTTATTATTACAAGGTGAAGAAGGTCGGGGAAAATATTTGAAGTTTTTTTTATACAGATTTCAAAGTTTTCACATGAAACAAATGTTTTTCTAAAGGTCTGTGCAAATATATATGTGAAAAAAATGATTTCATCTTATCATGTATATAACCCTTCACCATAATGAATACAGAAAATTGTTTCCAAAGAACTTTCCTACTGGACATACTTATAGCGAATTAGTTTTCTTTGATAATATGATTGGAAGTATGATACTTGTATTTCCATAAAATAGAGAGTTATGAATTAAACACTTACTATCAGTAACATAGGAGATAGTTTATTTAACAAATTACCAGTCCCAATTTGGAAGAAGTAGAGCAACATGAAAGGTTTACCCATAGTTGAAACATATCAGATAATCGAAATTTAGACTGGTGAAAATATTACTGAGCAACAGTCTAGCTAAAATGTCAATGGAGATTACAAGCTGGATTTCTGGGCTGATGGCAGGATAAGTATGGTAAGCGTTTGGAGCAGCCAGGTCTATAGATTTAGCGAGAGATTATTTCTGTGATTCCTGCAGCAGTACAGAAAATCTCAGAATTTAAGATCAGGGCTCAGTTATACTGTAACCAAGATTATTTTTTTCAGTAAAAACATTTTGGCAATAATCATAAAAAAAACCACATTAAAAAACAAGGTTTATGGCCAAATCTGATACAAATTCATCTATATAAATTAAAAGCTACATTTAATGTTTCAATATGATGTCAACGAGGATGCTAAAGCATCATAGTCTGAATATACACAGCCACTTGATATTATTTTAAAATCATTTGAAATTGATAAAATTGATTGAATTATATTCAAACTGTTTCAAGCAATTTTGAATTTCCTAATACACCTCTTCCATAATCTAAGCCCCAGCATCACTGACATGTCCTCAAAGGAAGATGCTGTTTGATGTTGTTTTTATAACTTTTAGAACAATCCTCTGAAGAGTTCCAGTGACTCAGTGGTCTTGGACCAGATGAAGCAGTAAGGCGCCATTCCAGCAGAAGCGTGAAGCATACTAACCTCATATTAGGCGGGGAGAGGACCTGCGGGTTGTTCATCTGTGACGAGGTAGGCAAGGGCACGGGCGTGGCACAGGTAACAGTGGACGGAGGGACAGGGGGTGGTACGTGCGAGACTGGGAGAAGGTGGTTCAGGGAAGGTGGTTCATTATACCCTGATGACATCTTTGATGGCATTCCTGGAGGTATTCCTGGTGCTATCCCTGGGGGTCTGTGGTGTGGGGGGCCATACATATGCTGGTTCATTGTGTTTACTGTGTTTACAATTCCAAACTTGTTTTCTGGAATGAAAAAAATTATCATAGATTAAGTTTTCATAAATCACTTCCAACATCCTATGTACTATGGGCTTTCCTTACTTCTGAGGGAGTCCGCCTTATTTTTCTTAGAATAGCTTTTTTTGTTCACCCTAATTCCTGAAATTTGCGCCAAGCCTGATATTAATCATTTTAATGCAAAGAAAAGCTGAAGCTTAAATACAAGCAACTTTTCGACACTGAGCAAGTCAAATATATGTAATTTGCAAAGTCAATTTCAATTTTTAATCTGCTGAAAGGCTGGAGTAGCAGACATAAAAGCAGTTAAAGACATAAATATATATCAGTTTTCGCTCCATACTTTCCTCCACATTTTAAATTTACAAAGTTGATAGGTATGTCAAATTACCGGAAAAAAATTGTTCATATTTGTTGTTCTTTCATTTCAACTCACAACAGTAAGCTTGCTTTCACAAAGTCACAAAATCATAAATGATAGACATTCATTAATCCTTAGCATGTACTTCATGAAGAATAAAACAAGGGAATTTCTGTCTCCTAGCTAAAAAGTAGCCAAAAAATATTTACTTAACAAAAATGACACAGAGGTATCGTAATCCATTCAGCAATTTCTAAGACTTAACAAAAATGACACAGAGGTATCGTAATCTATTCAGCAATTTTTTCTATATCAGTTATAATGTAAATTAGTTGATTTCATAAAACATATTAGTATATAGAATGGACCATCACAATTATAACAATCATTTTCACACAAACATCTTGAACACAGGATTTGTATGTGAGACTTTTGGATTGTGACAGTGGGATATCGTTAATTGTATAAAGAATCCTATAGAGCATTTTAAATAAAGCTATTTACTGTAACCGTACTAGAAATAATTTTTGATTAACCTCGGTGGAATAACCCTTAACCAATAATTGTTAGTGTATATATACTAGTGAAATGATAAAAATCAACATGAAAATGCTTGTTTGTTGTCTGTTTATCGCTAAACTATCAGAAGAATTTCTACACAAGGACATTTTTTCTGTGTCAACTTCGACAACAGAGATCTGTTGGATATTCTGGTAATTAAATTGTCTGTAAAAAGAACTGGAGAGTTCAAGTTAGATATATCAGTAAAAATGTTAATGTCTCTATTTTTTTTAAAACATGGAGCCATATTGATATGATTACTTTATACCTTACAGACTAAATAAATGATAATATGTATAATTAAATCCAATTATATATATATATATATATCATCTTCCAATTGTATCACTCCATACCAAAGTATTGACTAATACATATAATATTCCAAATTAAAATTACAAATAGATATTAATTTCACAGGTACTGAATACCTTCTTAATTGATAAATTTAAATATTATCAAATGAGATACTGTAAATCCTACATAATTAGTCAATGTTTTGGTTATGGTACAGTTTGTTGACCAAGTTACAAACACATGTATAAAACTATATCTAGCCTATTGATGTGTACTGAAACGTTTATCATCACCTGTCTCTGAAATCAATAAAAATACTGTTAATGTTGATTTCATCTTTACCAACAATGATACATTCAGATGATGGTGTTGTGGTTAAATATTACCACAAGTCCATATAACCTACCTATGTACTCCCTTAAGGGTAGAAAATCCAAGTGATTTGGTGAAGATGCACTATAATACATTGGAAATTCCACAATTCACGTCTTCAATATATCCAATGAGTTTGAAACGTTTTGATAAAAATCTTGTCGTAATTAATGGACAACATCATATGACTCTCAGCAAACTCCACTACTTAATGTAACATTCTTCCCATATAGTTTTTCAGTGATGGAAGTTCAATAGATGTGTCAGGAAATTAGAAGTGTTCCATAGAAAAGTGATCCATACCTCTGTAATTCATTCACATGTAGGCTGTGAGTCACATTTAGCCAGATAACAACACGAATTGTTGGAAAAAACCCTCATGAATGCAACATCCCAAACACAGAAAAATGTCTAAAATTGGAATTGTGAACCCATTTCGATTTAAAACCAAGACAAATGTTTGACACCTTCAAAAGCAGGCGTTTTGTGTGGCCAGCATTGTCCTGTTCACACCTCAGCTTTTGTGTAAACAGATTTTCCACAAATTAAAATCCAATTTACTTAAATCTAAGTAAACTTCATATATCTTAATTCTGTTCTCACACAAGGGGCAGTAACAAAGGACCAATAATAACCATTGATCCACCGTGACATCTCCCACCGCACCACTTCACACTGCAGCTCAAACAAAAACTCAACGCTATTTTTAACAATTTTAATTTGATATTAAATGACTACAAGCTATAGGCACTCTAAACAAAACACAACAAGGAAAATTCTAACGTCAAAAAACTGCAGTTTTCATTTTCAGTTTTTTTATCAATTACTTTTATGAAGCCAAAGCATCAATTTCATTTAATTATTATGACTTTTTAATGTGTGTGTGTTTTTTTTTACAGGTGAAAAATAAATTGCAGTTTAAATTTCTTAATTACATTTTGAAATTTTAAATTCATACTTGCATAAATATACCTGACCACATAGTAAATATTGAAATAGATAACATGTCTTAATATTGCTACAAATATGCGCCTAAATGGAAGGAAAATGTAGAAAGAATAAATGTACTTTTATATAGTACAGCTACAAACTTCTGAACCGTTCTATCCCCTAACAAGAACCTGTGTAATCTAAATGTCCATCCAACCTCAATCTTACTGCAATATCCCCATGTTAACTCATTCTATTTTGGACAGAATTAATGTAAAATTTTCCAGTTTAACAAAGTTTTTATTAGAAGCATTAAGAAAGATAATTTTTACCCGGAAAAAAATTCATTTTAAAAGAGGAAAATACTTAAAGTGGTTGACCTAATCTTGAACTTGTCAACAATGAGAGTTTGACCAAAGTACAACATGCCCAAGACCCTCTTCATTCCTTGCTTAATGTTTAGCATTTTGGTAGAGTAAAGACGAGTTAGACTTTTGGTAATATAATGTGACCAGATGGGGTGTCCCTGCTGTATGTGGGGAGGGGGGGCTTCTGCATATGCTTCAGTGTGGTATCATTACACAGTCAGGTTCTGTTCAGCACCATCACCAGGAGGACTACATGAAAACATGTCAGTCTCTCAAAAACTCATGCATGCAATTCATGCACTTACCTCCAATACATGGGGAGGCATCCTAAAATGACGCTTGCTTTACAATATAAACCAAAACAAGTCTTCTGTCAATGAGAGTATGAAAATGTGTATTTGCTTATTCAAGTGTTCAACATCTGTGCAGTGTGTACTTAATACAATTTTACAGTAATCCTTTTTCCCGGTTATGAGAAGCTCAATCATGTAATTTTCATCTGACTGTAGCTATCAATGAAACCTATCATTTAATCATTGTTGTGGACAGTGAATGTGGTCACATGTCGCTATATTAACCATTGATGGTCTTGTTACTCAAAAAGGTTTTCTGAAATCTCAGTATTAGTTTCATAACCTGATAAACTGTGTACTTTATTTGAGTAGTGAAATATTTTAAAATTTGCTTGATTCTTATAACAAAGATTCAAAATATCCATCCAATATTTTACAAATATCTTCATTTTATTAGCCGTTCCACTTCTTGACCTTCAACTACTGGAGAATCGTTTTATCGCTACAACAGTGAATATGTTACTGCTCACACACAGAATTTTAAAATTGAGTATGGTCTGGCAATGGAATCTGAAACTTATATTTGTAAAACAGGGTTAGGTAAACAGTTGGCGACACAAGTGTTAGTCACAAAATACAAAAAATAAAAATTTAAACACATGTACTTCAGATATGATAAACACAATCTTCAGCCTTAGAATGTGACTTTTGTTGATGATTAAGTCAACTATCTTTCAGGAGAAAAGGTTTTATTATAATACTTACAACTTTTCAGTACGTCTTCCATGAGTTAATAAATATGATTCCAGATATTTTGTAGAAAATAACTGACACAGAATGGGAATGAAAAAAATAACATTTGAAGACCAAGCTTAAGCACAGACCATTATATGAACACTAGGCCTAGCTTCAGTACAGATCAGCATATTGACACTAGGTATTGCTTCAGTACAGATTGACATATAGACACTAGGCCTAGCTTCAGTACAGATCAGTATATTGACACTAGGCCTAGCTTCAGTACAGATCAGCATATTGACACTAGGTATTGCTTCAGTACAGATTGACATATAGACACTAGGCCTAGCTTCAGTACAGATCAGTATATTGACACTAGGCCTAGCTTCAGTACAGATTGACATATAGACACTAGGCCTAGCTTCAGTACACATTGACATATAGACACTAGGCCTAGCTTCAGTACAGATTGATATATAGACACTAGGCCTAGCTTCAGTACAGATTGACATATAGACACTAGGCCTAGCTTCAGTACAGATCAGTATATTGACACTAGGCCTAGCTTCAGTACAGATCAACATATTGACATTAGGCCTAGCTTCAGTACAGATCAGCATATTGACACTAGGCCTAGCTTCAGTACAAATCAGCATATTGACACTAGGCCTAGCTTCAGTACAGATCAGTATATTGACACTAGGCCTAGCTTCAGTACAGATCAGTATATTGACACTAGGCCTAGCTTCAGTACAGATCAGCATATTGACATTAGGCCTAGCTTCAGTACAGATCAGCATATTGACACTAGGCCTAGCTTCAGTACAGATTGACATATAGACACTAGGCCTAGCTTCAGTACAGATCAGCATATAGACACTAGGCCTAGTTTGAGTACAGCCCATCATTGGGACAAAAGACCTAGTTTGAGTTCAGCCAATCATTGGGACACTAGACCTAGTTTGAGTACAGACCATCATTGGGACACTAGACCTAGTTTGAGTACAGACCATCATTGGGACACTAGACCTAGTTTGAATACAGACCATCATTGGGACACTAGACCTAGTTTGAGTACAGACCATC